TGTTCAATAACGTGCACAAATGTAATGCATATCATATCATCAAGTCAACTAAACTTTACACAAACAATTCTCCATGTGATATTTTGGGTAACACATCGGCCGTGTGTGTTAATTCATTCTTCATACAATCTTTCTTGGTCGCGTCACACAAATACAGTCACAAAGGCACAATGAAAATCAAACTATTTGTTTACTCGTACTAAAATACAAACTTCACCAAGCCAAATCACAATCTGCCAAAATGAAAAAAACAACAACAAAAATAAAACAACAAAAAAAAACTACATGGTCAATGAATATATTATTGAAAACAAATACAGTAATCCAAAATTAAAAGCTTTTAAAAATAAAAGTTTATAATTTCTAAAGCTTTATTGACAATGTTTCAAAACAAATAAAAATATAATTAATATATAATTATTATCGGTATACATATACACGTTTCACAAAACATAAGTTATGTATAGCTTTTGACCGACATACATACATGTAAACATAAAACTTATAAAAGAAACACATAATCCAACAATATGAAAATCTTGAAAGACAAATTTATGGTATTACATGTTAAACTAATCGTACTACTAAAGAGCGGGATGTAGACACTACTGTAGCATTAGCCTTAAATAAAATGGAAAAAAAAGAATTAAATGACATTGACATGCTAAAGATATAGAAGATATTGAATGAGTGTAAGTTCAATACTGAATTTATTGCACGAGTTGAATAAAATTATATTATGCGAGCCTCTGGCGAGCATAATATTATTTTATTCATCGAGTGCAATAAATTCAGTAATGAACTTACACGAATTTAATATTCTATTTATCACATACCCAAAATAAAGACCGTTTAAAGTGAAATAAGAGTCATTTTTCATTGACGCGTCTATAGTATAACGCTAACGTTTAGCGCGTCTTTACACTATGTTTGTATAACGCTAATGACGTCACGTCAAAATATATGCACGGCCGTGCAATACCATATTTACGGAGTCGCAAAATCGGAACGGGTGTGTGATAAACACTTACATTTAACAGTTGTGTGGAGTCTGCTGATCTTGTGGGGGTTGCGTTAATTGAACGCCACCTTTCCTTGTTGACTTGTTTACCATATTTTAAAAGTTGAAATCTCATTGCTATTGAAATAATGAAACTCGCAATTGTTTGAAAAACCACGAGAAGGTGACAACCTATGGTTGGATGTCAGATATTTAAGAGAAGCTGATAAAGGAGCTGATTTTAATCAAATTGCACAAAATATTACCACTATTTATTTAACGACGATGGATCAAAGAACATAACTCTTCTTCTTATGCATGTTAAAATCACCACTACATGCAGGACATGTAAATTGTTTGTTCTTTTACTGTACTTCTAAAGTCGGTATCGGCCTACAAGGGGACTGGAAGATGGCGTTAGACAGAAATGAGCATGTAACAGCAATCCTAATGGACCTGTCCAAGGCTTTTGACTGTCTACCGCATAATCTTACAGTCCAAAAGCTAGGGGCATATGGGTTGTCTTAAAATGCACGTGCTCTAGTTTCAAACAATTTATCAAACAGAAAACAAACAGTAAAAATAGGAGAATATCATAGCACTGGACTTGAAACAATTAAGGTTGTGCCTCAAGGCTCGATCTATTATTGGACCTTGATCTTCAACATCGTCATGAATGATATCTTTTACTTTATAGATAAGTCCATCCTCTACAATTATGCAGATGACAATAATCTAGCCTTTTCCAACTCAAAATTAGACATACTGAAAAAAACCTTTGAAAATGAAAGCAAAATACACAAAATGTACATAATATGGTTCAACATTGATAAAATACAAGCTAACAGTGGCAAATTTCAATTTAAGCCAAAAGGCTTTTAAAGATCCTGTAACACATTTTTTTCATGGTTTTATTTCATAAATATGATGCTCAAATTAAGATTTGTCAATCTTGTAAGTTCAAATAAGCATTATTTATAAAGATATTACCCAATTTAACATTTTGCGTAAATAAAGGGAGGTAATTAGAAATTTATTTTCTATAAATTCCAAGTCAAATTTTCCAATAAGAAATAAATGCATGCTACTTATTGATTAAATATAATGTGCACAAATATTTGCAGCACACATTTTACATATTCTTGGATGTTTGAAAATTGTTTTATTTGCATAATTATATACATATATAATATTTTGCAAGTGTATGATACATACAGTAACAATATCAATCACAAAACATACAGGATCTTTAAGAAAATTACAAATGAACACTCGAAAGAATTCCAAATTGATAATTTAACAATAAAATGTGAGGATTGTGTTTATAACTGCTTGGGGTAGACATCGACTTTTTATTTTACTTTGATATACAAATCACCAGAATGTGTAAAGAAGCTGCCCATAAAGAATTAGGATTATTTTTATATGCCCGAAAGAATTTCGGACATATTATGTTATACCCCCTGGCGTCCGTCCGTCTGTCCGTCCGTCCGTCTGTCCGTCCGTCCGTCTGTCCGTCCGTTAGCAATTTGGTTTCCGGAGCATAACTGAAGTTCCATTTGGCCCACAATATTCAAACTTCATAGGATGATTGTCCATATTGGGTAGAAGACCCCTATTGATTTTGGGGTCATAAGGTCAAAGGTCAAGGTCACTATGACCTTAAAACTGAAAACGTTAGCAATTTGGTTTCCCGAGCATAACTTAAGTTCCATTTGGCCCACAATATTCAATCTTCATAGGATGATTGTCCATATTGGGTAGAAGACCCCTATTGATTTTGGGGTCATAAGGTCAAAGGTCAAGGTCACTATGACCTTAAAACTGAAAACAGTTTTTGGAGCATAACTTAAGTTCCATTTGGCCCACAGTGTTCAAACTTCATAGGATGATTGTCCATATTTGGTAGAAAACCCCTATTGATTTTGGGGTCACAAGGTCAAAGGTCAAGGTCACTATGACCTTAAAACTGAAAACAGTTTCCGGAGCATAACTTAAGTACTATTTGTCCTACAGTGTTCAAACTTCATAGGATGATTGTCCGATTGTCCATATTTGGTAGAAGACCCCTTTAGATTTTGGGGTCACAGGTCAAAGGTCAAGGTCACTATGACCTTAAAACTGAAAACAGTTTCCGGAGCATAACTTAAGTTCCATTTGGCCCACAGTGTTAAAACTTCATAGGATGATTGACGATATTGGGTAGAAGACCCCTATTGATTTTGGGGTCACAAGGTCAAAGGTCAAGGTCACTATTACCTTAGAACTGAAAACAGTTTCCGGAGCATAACTTAAGTTCTATTTGGCCCACAGTGTTCAAACTTCATATGATGATTGTCCATATTGGGTAGAAGACCCCTATTGATTTTGGGGTCACAAGGTCAAAGGTCAAGGTCACTATTACTTAGAAATTGAAAACAGTTTCTTGAGCATAACTTTAGTTCCATTTAGCCCACAATATTCAAAAACTTCATAGTATGATTGTCCATATTGGATAAAAGACCCCTAATGATTTTGGGGTCACAAGGTCAAAGGTCAAGGTCACTTTTACCTTAGAATTGAAAACAGTTTCTTGGACATAACTTAAAGTTCCATTTGGACCACAATTTTGAAACTTCAAAGGAGGATTGTTATTTGAAGGAGGTAATACTTTATTTTAGTCCCATGTCTTACAAATGCTTCATCTTTACTTAAAAAAAAAAAAACTTTCGGGCATATAATGCTCCGCCTAGCGGTGCTCTTGTTTAATTTAGAATGTCTTCTTCTTATTTAACTACGGTCTCCTAGTTTGACATTTTTGCTCTTAAACAAACACAGAAAAGCTTGAAAAACTCCAGCATAGAGCTCTAAGAAAAGTATTCTACATATGACACACCTACTTTACATATTTGAAGAATTAAAATTGTAGCCAAAGAAGTGTTTAAATGCCTTTATGAAAAGTCTTCACCATATCTAAATGATTTAATTCAATAAAAAGTCCAATTATTCTTTTATGTATAAAAAAGTGTCAATATTTGAAGAGTCAAAACAGTAACATACGGTAAGAATTATTTTAGGTTTGAAAGCGGCTAGTCCAACTAATTAGACTTGTCAAAGAGACACCGAGATAATTTTGGACGGGCGCTGTCTTTTTCCAGGTTTGACAGTAAGGAAAAAAAGTCTTTAAAATGGGTCAAACCGATCACGCCGAATTAATTAGGCTAGAAAGCGGCCAGATATGGAACAGTCTCCCTTATGACATACATGTACGCATGGTTAAAAACTACGTACGTCAATTGGTACAAACTCCTCACAGCGGTTACGTTACGCTTTGCTACTTTAACCACTGCCACCACTGAAATCACGTGACGATAGTTGTATCATGTGACAAAAACATGGCGGCCAGTTTAAGAACGCCAAGGACCCCATATCAAACTGGCAGATTTATAATTACATTCTTACCAGACAAAATATGTTCAAAACACACAATTTGTTTAAACTTTAAAACAAGTGCCGGGTCAAATCTTTTACGCTATCGTTCAATAAATGTCTAAATTTTGCCATTGTTTACTATACATACGGTGTCACAGTGAAAATATATTTCGTTATGTTTACAAAATAATTTTTATGCATATATTTGTTTACATTCTTGTACATTAAGCATAACTATTTAACGAAAGAAGACTAAAATGATATAAAGTATTCTATTTTAAAATTAAAAGTGAAAAAAATATATCCGGCTATATTCGACCGAATTTACTTGTGGTGGCAGTGGTTACTGTACTGATCAGGGGAAGTAACCGCTGCGAGGAGTTTGCAATTGGTAATGGAATCAATCTGATAAGTATGACTCGTCATTACAGCGTTTGAATATAAAGAATTTAAAGAAAGATCTATAAGAAAAATTGTGCAAAATCATATAAAACGTTTGCTTCAAAACCAGAGAAAACCGGAAAGGAAACGTTGGTCCTCATTATTTTCCGGTATCGAGTCCGGATAGACGGAGTAAATTCCGTAAATACGGAGTATTACGGTTATTAATCATACACCGGATATGGTTATGATATCACTTCCTGTCAATGCCAAACGTCAAACATTTTTTTGCTAAATTCAACAAAGGCAGGAAACTATTTGCCCCCTCTTCGGTGTTTATATTCTTTTAAAGAACGTAAGCCATTTACTTCTGTTTGAACATTAATACTGGGCTTTTACATCGAAAAAAAATTTGTATGTTGCAAAATTTTGTTGACATCGAGACATGATCATGATGATGTAGGTGATGTATTTCCAATCATTTCGGCCCCAAAACGTATCGGCCCTAAACTATCCAAGACGTTTCGACCCTGGGCTTCACGACTCGCATAATCATTTTGTTAAGTGAGTGGCTGCGTCGTCTTGATCTGCACTTGAATATAGTTCGTTGGTAGGGTTGGCAAATCCTTGTGACGCGACCGGCCCTGAACTGAATAGTTAGCATGGGACTCCGTATTATCGGCGTACTTAACTTTTCCTATATGTCTGCATTGAATCTCATTGATGAATTTAATAATCAATATGTTGTGTAAAGCAGTACAAAATCAACTAATCATTACATTTTTTATTGAATGAGGTCAAAGATTTTTAATTTCAATGTATACATGACCACACATGACAAAATACTGAGAGTACATTGATAATAGAGTTGCGCCGATAATACCGAGTTGGAGTATATTTTGTAAAGTACATTTTACACCATTTCGTAAAAGATTATCAGTATCGGACCATTTCATGAATGACGACATCCAAATTCCAATCTTTTACGTGGGTAGTGTTTATGTCTTGATCATAAATAAAAATGTTAATATCAAAGTATTTTGCAATAAAGATTCGATTTTTATACTTTTTCAGAGAGAAAAAGCAATACTTTTGTGGTTGGGCAATAAAATGCAAGTCGGCACAGCATCGGGATCTGAGAATCCCACATCGTACTACTTTAACCAGCGTGGAATATGGCTGACCTATGTTCTTGTGATATTTTTAGCACATCTTTTCATTTTGAGTATGCCGTTCTTCAGCACTGCAGTAGCATGGACACTGACAAATGTATTACATGACATTGTAAGTAATTTGCTTGAATGATAGCCATGATGCCTAGATCATCATCTTTCAGTCTTATTTGTGAAATCTCTTGTCATTGTTTAGCCTACAGGTGTTAAGTTGTGTCCAGCAAGGGACTTAACTTGGTTGATAGTAAAAAGCTTACCATCTGTCTTATCGAATGTTGGTGGTTCTACTAAAGTTCCTGTTCATTTATAAGATATTAAATGCATATAGTGGTTTGTCTTGTATATATATTAAACTGATGTTTCCATTAGTTTTTACTATGCTTGAAAATTCCATTGCTCATTGGAGAGTGAGTTGCTTTACTTTACCTTTTTAGACTCTAATACACGAGGGGTGTTCGGGAAGTTTAAGGACTTTTGCTGTAGTTTGATAAATAATAGGAATTCAAAAGCAAGAAAAACACCATAAAAATATTTAATTCTTTAACAGCCAGCTGTAAACATTACAATGAATACATGAAACAGTAAGTAAATTACATATAAAACAAAACAAACACCGAAGCATACCTGGAGCACGCTAACGTCATGTCAGTGCTAAATATGGTTACGTGAAATTTCCCCAATCGTCATATAGACTCACTTCTCGACGTAATCTCCATTCACAGCGATACATTTTCTATGCCTCTTGACCTATTTGTGGTACGTGTCCTGTTTCCAGATTTTGTCGAATGACAAAATTATTTTCTGGGTTTCAATTTGTAATTCCAACCTGGAATCAAAGCGTCGACCATGCAGCTGTGCTTTGATTTCCGAAAAAAAACTCTGTTTCAGAACATGTCGTGCCATCTAAATACTAGCTATCTACAGCATTGCTTTGTTGTACTAGATGCTTGAATCATTTTATAAGTCTCCATTGTTGTCTTTTCAATTCCTACACAAAACTTGATGATTGCCCTGACTTCAACGTCGCCTATTGATGTCATTTTTCTCTTGATTTGTGTAACCACCAGTGATGTTAAAACTGTTGTTATTCAAACAATTGTAACGATTTACGAGTAGAATTTTTTCGGAAATGACTTTGACATTTTTAACGCTTGTGCTTTTTCGTGACGTTATCCATTGTAATTTAAGAAAATTATTATCAAATGAATATATCGGAACCATTAACTTAAATACAATAAAATCGGAGTGCTCTGGTATGTGTTATGCGGTTCATATAGAAACAAGTTTCGAGCAGTATTTGTCTATTCTTGATAGTGAGCGTTATACTACATATTGAACACATATTTAAATTACATTTTGTGATAGTTCTGGCTTCCAAAACTTTATAAGCCGCTTTTTAACATTTTTGTTTTTCATCAGATGCGGCATTAAAGTTTTGGATTAGACCCGTTACGAAACCTAACCAGAATAACCTAAGTTGATTTATTCTTGTTTTTCACTTGCAAATACACTTGACCCGATCAATTCTTGTGCATTTTACGGTAAAACAATTATTTAAATATCGTTCTATACCAATTCAAGTAATAAAATATTAATACCGTCATTAAAATTGCCTATTTAACTGTAAAACATCAATTTTCGCCGACTACAGTCGGCCATGACATTCAAGTGTCACGCGAGACCTCGTATGACCTCATTCGCGGGAACAGATTTGTACTATATTTAGAACATTTTGTTGACATGATTTCGATATTTTTATTCAAGATAATGTTTTTTTTTTATTTTCATAAATTTTTTAGTATTTAAATATTATTTTATTGAATATAACAGTCAGTAAATAACCTTTTTCAACATCTTAAAAAAAAGTAATCTATAAAAATATTGGAGGCACATGGGTTCATAAAGGTCAATCTCGTAATCACGTGGTCAAACATTTTGGCAATATGGCGGCCAAGTGCCGAAATTTTTACCTGTCGGAAACTATTAGGTAGTTTATGTTCCTAATAAGATTTTTATTTGTCCATCCTTGGCTTATCAACAGATTATATATCGTTTTATCAAGGTATGCTTCACTTTACTTCGTGGCATGTTCGATAAATAAATACGAGCGTGTCAGATTCCTGGCACGATTATTGGTGGACTTTCCCTACGGGGTTATCTTCAGCGTTCACGTCATGTCATATATATAAACGGGTACGCTGAAGACCTTAAGCTAATTTTGTGAAATATGGATAAAAACGCACCATTAAGGAAAAAAATACAGCAAAAGTCCTTAAACTTCCCGAACATCGTATATACATATATGTAATAGAGTGTAAGATCAATTAGCAAGATTTATGAATAAATGCTATATATAACTATTTGCTCTACTGTTTGCATATGGTCGATGCCGGTTGGTTTTCTTGTAACGTACATGTATTATTTACATGTACATAGAAGTAAACACTGATTGAATGTTTAAGGTTGCTGATATTAAACCACTTTATCCCTCAGGGCTTTAGCAAGTGGATGATTTGGGCGACTTAGTCTCCTTTAGTTTCTGAACTTCACCAACTTTGAACATTAAAGCAAAATTGACTTTGCCACGCTTTACTACTAATGGCATGTACAGATATTTACGTATCATACAGTGCTTGTCAATAAAATAATCCTCGCCTCATGGCGTAACTTAAACTGAATTGTTGACAACACAGTTAATGCTGACAATTGATTGGCCCAGTTATAGTGCGCCTGTTCAGCTCAGCAAGGAGATCATAGGATGAAATCCAGTGGTTGTTTGTTCGATCCTTAAGCAAGACAAAATTACTCTGTGACAGTTGATTTCAGAAATTGAGTCAAATGATCACTTGTCTGTCACCACTGATTTAGTAATCATTTGTGGCTAGTAGATTGTCACTTAAGGAGAAATTTGAAAATACTCAACTGGTTTGGTTATCCAGGAGAGTCTGTAATGTAAGGTGGAATGACCACTGAGAAATAGAACAAGTTAACTTAAAATCAGAACGGAAAAAAAAACAACAATCAAACCCCTTAGAAAGCAGTAACAAACTCTGAATTTTTAGATGTGAGGAAACTATCAAGCTAGCCTATAAGTGGGGTTTTGATAGAGTAAATGTGACAGCAGGGCAGCAAATCATATGCTTTTCACAATATTGATTTTAACTTAAAATCCAAACTCACTATTATAATTGAAATAACATTTACATTATTTCCAGTCTTTATTCGTGATACTGCATGTGACACGTGGTACACCATACATGTTAGAAGATCAAGGAACCGCCCGCAAACAGACACAATGGGAACAACTGGATCAAGGAAAACAATTTACTCCAACAAAAAAATTTCTTACAATTGTTCCAATTGTTCTGTAAGTACTTCATACTTTTACAGGCAAATTACTTCATACTTTTACACACAGGGGCGACAAAATTGATTGTCTGTATTGCCTAGGTTATAAATTAAAATATCCATCGTAATTTCTTTCTAATGTTCAATTTAAAAAAAAAGAGTAGGGCAATCTTTTTTATATTTAGGCAGATTGATATTTTATGCTAAATATTTTCCGATATCATCTTTTTGTCAATTGCCATCATAATAGTCAATCCTTTGATGTAATTATATAGTTTATTCAGCTTAATTTGACAATGATAAAATGAACATAATGTCACTTTAAGCTGGTAGATAAAATCTTTGTAGCAGATTGTGAATGTGTGCAATTTAATATGATATTCTAATTTCTATAGATTTAAGTATTTGTTTTCTTATCTACTTGCAGATTTTTCCTCGCGAGCTTTTACACAAAGTACGATAAAGTACACTTTCTTATAAACGCATCATTCTGTGCTCTTAGTGTGGTGGCAAAGATGCCATGGTTTCATGGAAAACGATTCTTTGAAATAAACAAGTGGTGAAAATTGTGCCAAGATTATAAATTATGATAGACTACATGATGTATGAATGCTGCCTGGAATAAAAGGAAAAAAGACTTTGAACAATCGTTTGGACTAAAGTCTAAAATGCTTTACTATTGGATAAAAATGAGAGTGACTTAAGAAAGCCATAAGCAGTTAATCAGGTATTGAAATGTTTTCGACTGCTTTTCATGACCTTTAGGTCAAAGGATGTGCTTGTTATAATAATATTTGAGACCAGTCTGAAATATATTTGTTTTATGATTACATGTCGAAATTTGACCAATGAAAATAATATATTTTTGACTGGTTTTCAATCAGAATATTGTTTAGTATCCTTTTTAAGTGTGACAATTGTATGATTGCAACTTGTTTTTAACCTTGAACAAAAACCCCCATAGGTACAGTATAAATGGAGGTAAAAAAAATTAAATACCTTTTTGTAGCAGTGAACAGTTTGTTATGATATGGAATGTTAATAATGATAATTTAACTCTCTTATTCCACTATTTTACTACCTGTCCAGCATGCATAACTGTGCCAGTCTGACCAACTTGCATATAACTATGGCAGTTTGACCAACTTGCATAACAGTGGCAATCTGACCAACTTGCATAACTATGGCGATCTGACCAATTTGCATAACTGTGGCAGTTGATACCAGTTAAAATCACTTTAACAGCAATGAATAGCTGTAATTCTATAGAAGGAAAATTCTTTTGGCAACTATTTTTGGCAGGTTTGCCTTTCCTTTATAGAGTCCAGTTGATAAATAATAGTCTAATGTGAGACTTATTGTAAATATTTATTCAGCAAGCTTCCCTAAAAAGTTCTTTATTTTTGTCCTTTTAATTTTGGTCTGTTATTTTATTTCGTTCGAGTGTTGAAATATTAATATATATATGTTTTATGTATATATATACGTATATGTGTGTGCATAGAAAAGTAGAAGGTGCATTATATGTACAAGGATATCAATATGATTGGTCCAGTAGAAAGCTTGCTTAAAATTGTTATCCCATGTGTAATATGATGTCATTAACTTATCATAAAGTTTTCTTTTACTGATTTAATTAAGTTTTTGATCTTATGAAATTTAAAAGAGGTTTTTGCTTACTTTTTGTGTATTTTTAGCTCACCTGTCACAAAGTGACAGGGTGAGCTTTTGTGATCGCTTTTCGTCTGGCGTCCGTCCGTCCGGCGTCCGTCCGTAAACTTTTACTTTAAATGACATCTCCTCATAAACCACTAAGCCAATTTCATCCAAACTTCACAGGAATGTTCCTTTGGTGGTCACCTCTAAAAATTGTTCAAAGAATTTAATTCCATGCAGAACTCTGGTTGCCATGGCAACCGAAAGAAAAAACTTTAAATATCTTCTTTTAAAAAACCATAAGAGCTAGAGCTTAGATATTTGGCATGAAACATCTTCTAGTGAGTGTCTACCAAGTTTGTTCAAATAAAAGCCCTGGGGTCAAAATTGGCCCCGCCCCAGGGGGTCATTGATTTTCCCAATATGCATATAGTAAAAACTTAAAAAATCTTCTTTTAAAGAACTCAAAGAGCTAGAGCTAAGATATTTAGCAATTCAGGGATCACGCTGTCGGTCGCCATAGTCGCCATTTGCGATTATTTTATAAGATTGGCGATTATTTTTGCATTTTGGCTACAAAATCTGGCGATTATTTTTTACTTCCAACAGTGTTTATATAAGGTGTAAAAATAGATAATGAATGCAGTAGACCCAATTAACACCAGCGGGGTGCATTTAATTGAGTGTCAACTTTTTACCGGTCACGTGCTGCTAACTATATTGCCCGAGGTGAAAAAATACATGCGAGATGTATAATTGTATAAGTACTTTAAAGATATTGTCCAGCATTTATAATAGCCATCAAATATCCGTCAATTAGCCACAAAAATCGTTTTTAAATTGATAAACTGGATATTGACTTATCCAAAATTTACCGTGAATTGCAGTAATTGCAAATTTTGTTTTTTTTGTTTTAAGCTACTTGACTAAATCGCCAGTGGAAAACGATGGTAAAATATTTAAAAAGTATTAACTTCCAAACAACTTTTTGCACAACAACCAAAATTGTGAATATTTCTTCAGAAAACAGGAAAAATCCGATTGTCACATATTTTCGCGACACCGATAATTTTGATATTTATTTAAAGGTGAAATAAGCTATGTTCTGTTTAAAAATCTTTACTACTGTGGCAGAAAATTTGTATTACATTGGTGATGATGATATTTTTCAGTAAATTATTCAGAAAAAAGGCTGCATTCTGTGAATGAGTTTGCAAACTTGTGCTATTTCTATAGGCTAATATGACCTAGATCTACTCCAGTTCTGTGTGAAATGTGGAAATTGACAGTGGTTATAGCTGACAAAATTTGATTAGAACAAACAAAAAAAGTTGTCTGATAACAGCATTATGTAAAGTTATAATGAATCTTTAATATTATTGTTATACAGTAATTATACTAATTATAACGTTTTTATTCTGTTCTATAATAACAATTAAAGTTGTGGTTCTATTTTAAAAAAGGTAGTTATCAATATACACAAATGTATCAGTTTATTTGAGAATCCTTATAAAACTGAAAGTTTTATATAAATGTAATGTTTATTTAATCAACTGCTTATGTTGTTAATCGCTAATTCGTGAATAGTCCGCTGAACTTTTGGCTATTATTTTTTTAAGTTGAAATTATTGGCTATTATTTTATTTGAGCCAGTGTGAGCCCTGAGCATGAAACATGTTCTAATGGGTGTCTACCAAGTTTGTTCAAATAAAAGCCCTGGGGTCAAAATTGGTCCCGCCCCGGGGGTCATTGATTTTCCTTATATGTATATAGCAAAAACTTAAAAAAAATCTTCTTTGAAAAAAACCCAAATAGCTGGAGTTTAGATATTAAGCATGAAACATCTTCTAGTGAGTGTCTACAAAGTTTGTTCAAATAAAAGCCCTGGAGTCAAAATTGGCCCCGCCCGGGTCTTATTGATTTTCCTTATATGTGTATAGCAAAAACTTAAAAATCTTCTTTGAAAAAACCCAAATAGCTAGAGTTTAGATATTAAGCATGAAACATCTTCTAGTAAGTGTCTACAAAGTTTGTTCAAATAAAAGCCCTGGGGTAAAAACTGGCCCCGCCCCAGTGGTGTCATTGGTTTTAACTACATGTGTATAGTAAAAACTTAAAAAAACTTCTTTTAAAAAAACCCAATGAGCTAGAGCTTAGATGTTTAGCATGAAACATCTTCTAATGGGTGTCTACCAAGTTTGTTCAAATAAAAGCCCTTGGGTTAAAATTGGCCCCGCTCCGGGTGCCTTTATACAGGTGAGCGACCTCAGGGCCATCATGGCCCTCTTGTTTTTCATATACATGTATATCATCACATTTATTGTCCTTGGGTAACTCCTAAATTTTAAAGGAGTTGTTCAGTTACAGCACTAAGGACAGTTCAGGGCTTCCACTAAGTTCCAAAATTTGGAAGTCAGACACTGCAAAATCTCTTGATATTGGAAGTCACATTATATAGGTAAAGAAGGAGAAGTATTAGATTTTGGAAGTCACTAGCCAAAATCAAGGAGTAAATGACTCCCAAACTTCCATTAATGGAAGCCCTTAAAGGTGTTGATATAGTATCATTGATAAGTTTTATTAACTTTTACGGTCATTTTATCTGGATACGATTTCTTTCAGTATTATACATGTATTCATTTAAAGAAGAGGAATTACAATTTTTGTACTCGCACATTGTACCTTTATTTTAACCCCTCAGCCTCATAAATTCTTCTACCTTACTTGAGAGACCATTGCAGACCAAAATACAATGTAAGCTGGCACATCTATATGCCTTCTGACTAATCAGGTTGCACATATTTTGATTTTTTTCCCTAAAATTGATAAATGGTTTAGTCCAGATTGAAAGATGGACAAGTCTATTTAAGATATTTAGCACTTTAAAAGTTAGTATCAGACATGGGCCATTTTTCTTGCAAGTTTACCAAGTTGCAGGAAAGTTATACTTATCTTAAGTAGGCTAAATTACATTTAAATCCATCACAAAGGTTAATGTCAGACATGGGCTATTTTTATTGCAAGTTTCCCAAGTTGCTGGAAAGTTATGCTTTTACTTATTTAAGGTGGCTAATTAATATTCAACAGCATCACATGATGTAAATTTGTAGAAGAACGATAAATTAGAATTTTTTACCAAAATGTAAACCAAGCAAAAAAAACTTTGTTTGCTTTTTGAAAAGATTCAGAATTGCTTTTTTTGCCTGATAAAAATTTACAATAGCATTGGAAAGCCTATAAAATTATAAACTGACTATTCCTGGTCAACAGCTAACACTTTAGCCACTTGGACCATCTCTTAACTGAAATCTCATAGATTTACGATCATATACATGTATCCTTGATGTTCAGATGAAATCATAATGGTTTAAAACAAAATAGCAGCAAAATTTAATACAGCATAATATTGGAATTTTTTTTTAGTAGGAAAACCGGTGTTAGTAAAATTTAGCACATTTTTTCACATAATTTATTCTTGATTGTTTTGGTTTGTCAAATGATTTGTTCATGAGAGCTTAAGATTAATGATCTACAGATGTATAACTGTTTTATAGATGATATTGAATGGGCTACGGTTCAATACTACAATGTAAATTTATTGAATGAGTTTAGGTTCAATTCTAAATTTATTGAATGAGTTTAGGTTCAATACTAAATTTATTGAATGAGTTTAGGTTCAATACTAAATTTATTGAATGAGTTAAGGTTCAATATTAAATTTATTGAATGAGTTTAGGTTCAGTACAAAATTTATTGAATGAGTTTATGTTCAGTACTAGATTTATTGGATAAGTTGGAATAAATTTTGTAATGAAGCTGAGCTGTATGAATATAATATTTTTTATCACACACTGTACCGCTTTTGCCACTCTATAAAAACTGTATTGAACAATTAGCGTACATTTAGGTCATGTGTTTGTAAAACACTTATGATGTTGCAACAAAATATAATGCATGAATTGTCCTATCATTTTTATATAGCCGAAAAAAGTGGCATGGGTATGTGATAAATGGCATATACATGTTTGTGTGTTACATGTGTATGGTGACATATCACAGATAAACATTATGTATAAAATTGAATATTTGTATTCAAACAGCTGACTTTAAGAAGAAGTATTAACGTGTTTATGAATGATTAGAATAGATTTGGAATGTGAAGATGGTATATATAAACAGTGTGCTGTTTATATTTATTTATTTATCTTTTTTTTATATAAAATATGTTAACATTTCAAGTGTACATGGCTATTTTATATGATGCATTGATGAATATATGTATGTTCATTTACTGTTAGCCTGAATTCCAGTTAGTTGATTTTTTTGTGCATAAAATTTGAAATTCTTGCATAGATCAAGTGAAGACTTAAAATGGAAAAATCTGCGAAAGAAAATGAAAAATATTATTGAAAAATATTTTTTTTGCACAATTTTTTTTAGCCAGGTTTGAGTGAAAATTGTTGCAATGCTTTTCCTTGTTTTGTACTATTCTACATTCTCATTATTTATCAACTTTGTGTACAAGTATCACACTTATGAATCTGTCATTTTAGCAATATATTTACTTCAAAATGGCATTCGTTATTAAAATGTTACGCTTTTATTTTAAAACAAATTTAATGACTTCAATATATGTAGAATGGACAATCAAGATTGCTGTTTTGTTATCATTATCTTAAGGTCGTCATACTGTAATGCTTTGCTGCCAAACAATTCTAACATCGGCCAATATCGTACCGAATTGGTTATTTCCGGAACGTTTTTTTTTTTTAAATCTTGGGTATTAGATTATTTACAATCACTCATTCGTAATCAATATGTACTAAATTCAGGTTATAAATGGTTAAGATTTGTTGATTACGGAAAATTGGGAAAAATAAAGTTCCGGAAAAGACCAATTTATTACGACACTGGCTGATGTTAGAAATTTTTTAGTGGGAAAGCATTACAGTAAGACTACCTTAAGGTCCCAATTTATCCCTCATATATAATACTTTGTAATTTATACATTATTTAATAAGGTCAGGAAAGAGTTGAATTTTGAAAATTGTAAAAAAAGAAGAAAAAAAATCACAAGTATAATAAACCATGCCAACAAGGTACGTTTTTAAGAGACACTTGGTTAAGATAGTATTTTTTCTTTTTTAACCAGTATGTATAGGTTAGAGTGCATATTGGGTGTTCTTCGTAAATAAGAAAGCTAAAAAGGAGCGGAGCTTAATCCAATATGCACTCTAACCGGCTTAGTGCTCCGCCCACTTGCGTTTTATAATATAAAACGTCCAGTTTATATAAAATTTGTTCTTCATATAAAATCTGTTCTTTTAATATTTGAAACCTGAAAATTTGAAAAATCCTCGTCGGTGATTGGCTTAAAAAAAATTGGCGAGCTCTAATTTTATTTTGAACAGAAACAAAAACAGCATGTGAACCAAGGTGCCAGGCAACTCCATAGCTTAATGAAATTTAAGATAAAGCTACTGCTATGTAATGCTGTAGTAACAGATGTTTGATACAGAATTTTTATTAACCAGGTTTTTGTTTTTGGAAGGAAAAAACTGTTGATTTCTTAAGTGAATTTTGATTTCTTAATTGTACAACTTCTCAAATATTTCTCAAAAATTTGGTCTATACTTTCACAGAGCCAAGTGCCCTGGTGAATATTGAGTGGATAATTCAGATTTGATCATAATTGATGAAATTATGTCTTTGTTTTGTTTTGTTTTTATCTCATAGTTAATTTATATAGAGGGCAGTTGAAAAACCTGTTTTTGTGACTTGTTTTGTTGCTGGCATATGCTTTACAGTTACTTATAAAGTTCACAAGTTGTTTATTTTTATCATTTTCTGTTTAAATGTACATGTAAAGCTGATGACTAGACACAAGGTTTGACTGAGATTCTGAAAGTTATATACATGTATAAAGTTATATACATGTGATTACCCCACAATTCCTATGTATAGATACGTTATATATACATGTAGCTCAATGTTTTATTAGTATTTTAATATTTTGTAAGAAAATGTGTATTTGAGGTATGGTAGAATGTGTTAGAAAACAAGTATTTCTACTGTTGATTCAATTATCATATTTACTGTAAATAAATTATGGACTTAAGAGTTTGTTATTGTTTATAAATGCAAAGTATTGTCCATGCTGGGAATAAAAAATTGCTTGTTTCCAAGGTCTCGCTACAAACCCCGCAAAAATTACTGCTTTACAGTAATATTGAAAGAGGCTGTACTCATCCCGGCGTCGGCGTCGCACTTTGATGAGGTCTGCGTGCTTCTTCGTATGTCAAAAACTACTTAAGGGAATGGGTTAAAAATTCACACACTTTATTAAGTGCATAATAGGAGGTCACAATGAAAGGCCCATATCTCAAACAAGTATTTTGGCAGAATGATAACCCTTTTTGAATTTAGAAAATTCTACATTATATTTGATCAAGTTTAACCATCAAGCACTGAGAATAGTCGAGCACTCTTTCTTTCCTGCAGCTCTAGTAAGAAATGCTACTATTCAGATATAAATAATTCATATATATTAAAAAATAAAAGTAATATAATTCACTTACCTACCCTACTTAAACTGGCATGGGTCATGGTACGTGAAACATTGATAATTATAACTATTTATATAGTTTAACTACATAATTATAATTTATTGTTGTGTTTCTTGCCTCCATGTTTGAAAATTATCTGCATTTACTCGTAAACTTCTATCTTAAAGAACATTGTGACTGACAAATTCGGTCTCTAGTTTTTTTATACCCCCCCCCCCCCCCAAGGGAGGCATAATACAATCGCATCGTCTGTGCGTCCCCACTTCATTTTGTGCGGATTGTAACTGTGTCATAAATTGAGGGATTTTGAAATAACTTGGCACAAATGTCTACCACATCAAGACGATGTGTCGCGTCCAAGAACCACGTCCCTACCTCAAAGGCCAAGGTCACACTATCAGTTTAGAGTTTCGCATTATCGCAGTTAGAGTAAATAGGTACACACATTCGTGTCCGGACTGTACTTTTGTCATGCATCGAATGATTTTTAAAATAACTAGGCATAAAAGTCTACCACATCAAGACGATGTGTCGCGTCCAAAAATTATGTCTCTACCTTAAAGGTCATGGTCACACTAACATTTTGGAGTTTCACATTAACACCATTAGAATTAATAGGTGCACACAATAGTGTCCAGGCTGTAACTTTGTCATGCATGGAAGGGTTTTAAGATTACTTGGCATAGATGTCTTCAACATCAAGACGATGTGTTGCGTCCAATAATCACGTCCCTACCTCAAAGGTCAAGGTCACACTACCATTTTGAAGTTCACTTTATCACAATTAGAGTTTATAGGTACACACATGCATTCGTGTCCGGGCTTTAACTTTGTCAAACATCGAAGGATTTTAAAATAACTAGGCATAAATGTCTACCACATCAAGACGACATGTCGCGACAAAGATCCATGTCCCTACTTTCAAGGTCAAGGTCACACTTATAGTTTGAAGGTACTCATTCTCCCGAGAAGAGTTTGAAAATACACATTCATGTCTGGACCGTAACTTTGTCATGCATGGAAGGATTTTAAAATAACTTAGCACAAATGTCTACCACATCAAGACAATGTGTCGCGGCTAAGGCTCATGTCCCTCTGTCCGTGTGTCCCCACTTACACAACAATCATGTCCAGACTGTATCTTTGTCATGCATTGAGGGATTTTGAAATAATTTACAAATGTCTATCTCATAACAATATTTAGTCGCGTCCAGGAACCACGTCTCTTTATCAAAGGTCAAGGTTACACTTATATTTTGAAGGTTCATTTATAGAGATTACAGGTACAATAATAGAAAACACAATATTCAGCAATTAGGTACTGACAGCTCTTGTTTCTTTAAAAAAAGGTAGGAGATTAATTGATAAATAAACATTATGAAACTTAGTCCGATGATTGAAGGTTTGAATCAGGGAATATATTCATTTGAAATAATATTAAGACAATACATTGGTAGTTAAATAGCCCTGTAAAGTTTTGAGATTTCATATTGAATAGACCTGTAAAGTTTTGAGATTTCATAAACAGGTCTTGACATGAATGGATTGGGACTTATTTGTCCTTGAATATACTTTTTTAAATTACGATATATCCTTAGAAACGGAAGAAGCATTTCGCGCATGCGCTTTCTGTGTAAAGTAATCGGCGATAGTGAAGGAATAAATTTTATCAATATTTAACAATTAAATAATCATTTTGATCTTACCCAAAAGGTTTACTAACTATTTTTTTCGATTAATAACTTATGCAAAGGTGAATATAAGCAATGAATATAAATTTTACTGCATTTTTGCATTTAGGTTCTTTAAAATTTTCAAAAACTGCAGAAAATCTAATATATACCCGGTTAGCATTTACATTCCAAGCTGCAGGCTACTTAAGGGCTGATAAGTCAATGCTACCGTTCGATACTGAAAACAATTTCCTTTAAGGAAATAACTTGTTGTGAAATATAGGATTTACTTTCTTATTAAATACTTCACACATTATTTAAATCCCTCGTCAAAAGATAGGCTGTTGTGTTTATTTATAGAATATTCTAATTGTTCATAGACTTAAATGACACATTTCTTTGTTTCAAGTTTCAATTCATTTTGATTCAATACAAAATCAGTGAAACGCCTATCTAGTTCCATTCATTGGTGTTTAAATTGCTCTTTGTTTTTTGTCAATGGTATAAAGAAATATATTAAAGTGTTAACAATACTTTTGGTATCAAATTTTAATGACGTCAATTTAAAAAGATATAAAAACTGTTTCATAACCATATCGAGGTTTTCTCGTGGGCGGAAGTGAAAAAATAATTAAACATTTTTTAGCATTGTTAACAGAAGTTGGAATCATAGAAAAGTGTAAGTAATTATTTCATTATTTTTTGACTTATTTCATTGTTTTATTTTTGACTTGCATTGATTACTTATTTTTTTCCTGGATGAATTTGTAATTCTTTTCTGAAATCCTATATTTATAATAGCTAAAGATTGGTTTCCGGCGTAAATGTTCGAAATTAATTTATATTTGTACTTAAATTGTCATAAGAATTAAGATAACAAAATCATATTTAAAAAAAACCCGAATATATTATTATATAATTTTGGTTTACTACAAAGGACATATATTGTATTTAATATTCATTGATGGATTTTCTTTTTTAAAATCTCATGCTTGTGTTTTTTTTCAAATCTCAGTTATTGATACTGTAAGATTACTAACTTGACATTCGCATCTTGTTATATTCTAATACATATAGTTATTTCCCACACTATCTTAAAAAGGCATATGTTTCACAAAATAATACAGAAATATATTTTTTATATATAAATTTTGACAAATTATCGAAAGTGTCGAAATAGAAGAATAACGAAAATATTAAAATTAACTACAGTTATGTTAATCTGTATAGCTAACGAAAGTTTTGGGCCTGGTCCATTGGCTTTTGTCAATAAAGTCATAAGAAATATATTTGTTTTAATACAGAGGCTATGTTGAAGACGTGTTGCGTTGTATTGCTGGCGTTCGCCGTTGTACATGGAGATCTGGGAGAGGATTCTGTATATACTGCAGCAATCGACGTAAGTGTTGTGTTATCTTCTTGTACATTTCTTTATGGTGTTGGGTATTTTTGCGTTATCTTCTTGTTTATCTTCATGGTGTTGGTAGTTTTCACTCCGGATCACAGCAGTAAGCCACATTGAATTTACCTGAGCTCATTTTAGTCACCGGATCGTTCTTCGACGGACTGTCAAGCATTTTACCAGTATTAGTTGCGTTAACTTTCGTAATGTACTGATAACTTCTGTACATGCAAGAGCAGAGGCACAGTATCTGTATCACACTCGTCCAATATAGTTCTGACAGCTGTGTACTTGTCCGATAGAATTCATTATTGTACTCAACAATGTATAATAACATCTTACGTATTTAGCATTATTAGTTTGTATATGATTTAAATCAACAACATATTTTGAATAATTTTAAAGAACCCCGAGAAACATGAAATGAATGGAATCATTGGTTAAGATTCAATATTTATAATTAAGTTTAATTAACATTTTAGAAGTGTTACATAAATATTTTAGCTGATTCACACGATCAAAGGACTATAACATTTTTTTTTGATTGGGCAATTTGTAAATTTAGTTTACATGTATACTCGTACATGATAATTCATGACAATAATTGTCATATTGCGTTACTATATCACTTTTACTCTACCCTATATTGACTTGCCTGTCCTGTCCTGCCATGACCAACACTGAGCTGTCACAAAATTTGCACAGCCCTTCTCCCATGGCATGGCATGGCAGAGAAGATAACATAGCATAGCATACCCTGCTTTGTCACACATACCCTGCATAGACCTTCCCCATAACATAGCATAGCATTGCAATAGCATAGCATAGCATAGTATATAAAAAAGAATTTTTGTACTGAAAAGTTTTATTGTTTTGAATACGATATTTGTTACTTACTTGTACATGTTTGAGCATAATATGGCGACGTGTCTTTGTTTAGTTGGCATTTGAATTACTGCCAACAAAGTGCTTATTCCATGTAAAAGCTCATTGAAAATCACTCTAGTGGGATATTTTACAGTGTACTTCCTGCTATATTGTCGAAATGAATTAGAGCAATTGTCAAAATATATTTAAAAAAATATTCTTTATCAAATTGGTAAAATAGTTGAGACATTTGTCAAAATGTATTCCAAAAAGTAAAATTTAGTCTATTTTATTAAATAAATCATGCCCACTCTAAGATTATACTTGTCCCATTGAAAGATTTAATAAGTATTACTAGAAATGCGAAAAATAATATAATCAGAATTATACAATGCCTTTCATATTCAAGTAACTTAAGTACTACATATTACCTATGGTATTAAAGATGCACACTGAATGATAAAAGGTTTCTTTTATGCAGAAAACAGTTTCAAGCGATGTAGACGATGGGACAAATGCCATATTCAAATTTCTGGGCTGTAAGTATTAAGACAAATAAAAAAGCAATTAAATTTATTATTAACATTTTTATATATCAAAAATTGTTTTCGTTTAAATAATCCGGAAATGAGTGTAATCGTGATTGACAGGTAGCGCTACAAGTCGGTAGATATTTTTTCTTTGACACATTGGCATACCTCGTCGATTGATAAATAGAAGACGAATTAAGGAAATATTTGCAATATATTCATTTTAAAAGTATTGTTGGAATTTATCATATATTTTCTCCCTATAAGTCAAGTGCCCGAAAGGACACCGTTGTTTACCGGTGCTAGAGTGTCTACCGTGTGATTATGGTACCTACAAATCAAACGAAGGCTCGGACTTGTGTGAGAACTGCCCGAATGGCTGTACCACGCTGAGGAAAGGGGCAGAGAGCTGGAAGGAATGTGTTCGTGAGTATTGACATAAAATATATATATATCTTTGTAACTGTTGGGGGATTTTGTGTCGTAACATCACAAAATCGCATTACGACGATATTACACTATCCTGTAAAGTTCAATAATTCGAATATGAAGACATTAACAATTTCCGTTAATTCTAGAAAAAGATGGCAATGGTAACGTTAACAATGCCCTGTAAATCTAAAATCGCATTACAGTGACGTTAAGAATGCTCGGTAAATCTGCAAAAATCGCATTACAGTAAAATAATCAACGTCTGGTAAATATAAAAACATCTACGGTTATTATTAATAATAATACAAAATATCAATGTAATCAAATTTAGTTATGCAATATACATGTAGATAAATTGTCACACTTTTTACCGTGCAGCAAAGTGCCCGCCCGGATATGAGGAATCTAAGTGCGGTAAAACATGCACAAAATGCCGAGCTGGTTATTACAAGAGTAACTGGAAAAACAAACTGTGCCGGAAGTGTCCAACTAATTCAAACTGGAATAGTAACAGAATCGGAATGAAGAAAAAGAGTCAGTGCTACAGTAAGTGCATATTTGTTAATATGTAAACTTCCGGTGTGAAAGAACGCCATTCATAACGTCTTTGTACGGAAGCGTCCTGGTGCCAATTCATTATGTTCTATAAAAAAATAAACTCCTACGTAGGAGATAAAAAAGCCTAATTAGGAATTTGTAACTCCTACGTAGGACTTTTAAACTCCTACGTAGGACTTTATAACTCCTACGTAGGACTTACAAAGTCGACATCAAGCATACATATCAAAATTTTAAAAGGCTTTAATGATTACGATTTTCAATAGGAACTAGCTGAACAAAACGAGCAATTTATCCATTTTCGGCCGTTTCAAATGATTAAATCCTTATAGGGGACAGGGGGAGGGGGGGGGGGGGGTAGTGAAGTGTTTTGTTCTGCTCCGTAAAGTTTAAGAAGATATCGGTTTGTGGAGCATTATGCATGCATATGTTTAATAATGAATTACATTGTATATCCTACTTTGAACAAAGTTTAACCAATACATTTTGTGTACATGTGTATAATAAATATAACTAAACGTACATAATACAGAATCATCGTTTAATAAATGCAGAGAATGACAAAATCATCTCTGGCTACAGACTAAAGGTATTTACTAAAGTGGCTTGCCACAATTACAACTTGACACATATGAGCCGCGCCATGACAAAACCAACATAGTGGGTTTGCGACCAGCATGGATCCAGACCAGCCTGCGCATCCGCACAGTCTGATCAGGATCCATGCTATTCGCTATCAGTTTCTCTACTTGTACTAGGGTTTGTAAGCGAACAGCATGGATCATGATCAGACTGCGCGGATGCGCAGGCTGGTCTGGATCCATGCTGGTCGCAAATGCACTATGTTGGTTTTGTCATGGCGCGGCTCATATAATTTATTTTCCTACATAATATGCTATCTTAAGTTATACTCTAGCATACATGTCCGTCGAACTCTGTGCTTTCAGTTCTTTGATATGTATTCTACGTAGGAGTTATAAAGTCCTACGTAGGAGTTTAAAAGTCCTACGTAGGAGTTACAAAGTCCTACGTAGGAGTTATAAAGTCCTAATTAGGCTTTTTTATCTCCTACGTAGGAGTTATAAAGTCCTACGTAGGAGTTTAAAAGTCCTACGTAGGAGTTATAAACTCCTAATTAGGCTTTTTTATCTCCTACGTAGGAGTTATAAAGTCCTACGTAGGAGTTACAAAGTCCTACGTAGGACTTACAAAGTCCTACGTAGGAGTTATAAAGTCCTACGTAGGACTTACAAAGTCCTACGTAGGAGTTATAAAGTCCTACGTAGGAGTTTAAAAGTCCTACGTAGGAGTTACAAAGTCCTACGTAGGAGTTATAAAGTCCTAATTAGGCTTTTTTATCTCCTACGTAGGAGTTATAAAGTCCTACGTAGGAGTTTAAAAGTCCTACGTAGGAGTTATAAACTCCTAATTAGGCTTTTTTATCTCCTACGTAGGAGTTATAAAGTCCTACGTAGGAGTTATAAAGTCCTACGTAGGACTTACTCCTAATTAGGCTTTTTTATCTCCTACGTAGGAGTTTATTTTTTTTATAGAACATTATGAATTGGCACCAGGACGCTTCCGTATCTTTGCGCATGTGCTAAAATATAATATCCGGCGAAGAATATATTTGGTAGTCTGTGAGCATGCTTTGTTAAAAAGCCACTTTCATTTAATATATCCGCATGTTTCCAGATTGTCAAATTGTCTTTCATGTTGTGTTTTCATAAAAAAATTTCTATAAAGTGTAATAATAATTGAATGTTTACACGCAATGAACTTTTATTTCGGTTCTAAACATTTTCTAATGTAATGTACATGTACCACGTTTCTTTACTATTAAAGAACACTTGCATGGGTGAAGTTTTCAGGATTATTCCTGAAGTTCAGGATTTTCAGTCTCCTGAAAGCCTTCTATTTCCTATGTAAAACTATAGAAAAACTGCTAAATTCAGGATTTTCAGCATTTTGATTTTTTAATTTCCAACTTTCACCCATGCACTTGCGGATATATTTTAAACGGCACATTATGCCTCAATTACAAATACATTTTTATACTTATTACCAACAATCAACAAATGAGAAAGATAGCTCCGGTATTTTGAAAATTAGAAATTTTTTGGATGCTATGAAAAAAGTACACTAAAGTTAAAAGCTTAAATTGAGAAATAAGAGTAAAATCATTTCAGAGGCATGATAGAACATTAGGATATAGTTATTACGATTAGGTTATCAGTCTTATTTTTTATTTATCGATTTTATTTTTGAAACACTGAAGAGATTGGCTCTCTGTTGCACAGAGATGCAAATCCTAATTGTGTTTTCCAGATTTTAGATATCTAGTGTTAATTTTTCTTCTTCTCTTTTTCTTTTAGATATTGCCAAACCTGGTAAGTAAAATTTGATTCAAAATAAAATTAGATAAATAAATAAATAAATAAATAAATAAATAAATTGAATATTAAAATATATCTAAAACTTGTTTATCGTAAACGTTTTTACATTTAAATGTTGACGAGAAGATGTTACATAAATTAAGGCTTTTATGAGTTCTAAAGCAATTGATAAAAAGAAATTTGTTTTAAAATAACGAAATTTATACGTAGTTTGAAACTTTTTAGCCACTTGTAAAACTTCAGAAACTGTCGAGATGTTGAAACTTATGATAAAATAAATGTCGATGTGACCAGGAAAAAATTGTCATTTAGCTTCATGTTTTATACATTTCGCTTCATACAATATAAAGGCTGCTACATCGTCGGATACCCACGGCTGATTAACATGTAACATAACATGTATGAATATTTATGGTTCGGCCGTGGGTATTCGACGATTAGGTTGCAAGTAAACGAATTGTATCATATTTGAATCTTTACTGCAGTGTTAAATAATCGCCAACATATATGGACATCAACCCCCGAATCCCACTCCTTTTAATAATATGATATTTAAGTAATGAAAATATTGAAAGTTCTGCTCAGTGGCCATGTCACTCATTATATATTGATATACTATGCATAGTATACTCGCATGTTGTTACATGTAACTAGAGTTAATTAAGTGTTGTTCTGTTCTGTTTTTAGATATTTCATGTTTTTGTTCTTTTTGCAGAATGCGATGATTATGTTGGAAATATTGTGTTTGCGATGGACGCATCCTCTGCTGTCAGTGAGGACAATTTTGCTTTACAACTTGAATCACTAAACGACTTTGTTGGCGCATTTAACGTGAAGCAGGGCGTCGATACCACGCGATTTGCAGTTGTGACGTATTCAAACCAAGTTGATGACGTAATCTTGTTTACGGACTACGCTGACAAAGCGGAACTTCAAACTGCAATTGGTGACCTACAGTAGGCATAATTTTATCTAGCAAAACATAAAGTGCAGATTAAACTGATAAGAGACATTTTTAGAATCATTTTTTGTTGAAAAACATGGCGAATTACTTTAATTATTAATGGTCACTAATGGGTAGGCCTATACATTTGTATTTGTAATTTAAAGTAAATGTGTTTCAGACAAACACAAACCGACGAAAATTAAATCATTTTTGCAGATGGAGTAATGGAAACTCACCAAATATTTCGACATCATTGGACTACATCAATTCGAACCTATTGTTCAGTGATTTTGGCAGTGACGTCGTTCCATACACAGTTATAGTTGTAACTAACGGCAATTCTCCAATTCCATCACAAACTGCTCACTCAGCGTTCGCTTTAAAGCAAAATGTTGACAAGGTAAGAAGTGGTACTAATTTGAAAATCCTGAAATATCTAAACTTTAAAATTAATGATTTAGATAAAAAAAAGTTCAGATCTTTAGAAATAAACAAAAGGGTAAGCATGATAGCATTCACTTACATATAAGATAAACTCCCTTAATTGCAAAAATACATACATGTATTTAAAATAATTTAATTATCTATGACAAGGAAAAAACATTTAGATTTTTGCTATTTACTTAATATCGTCACCTACCTGTCTATCTGTTCATCTACTTCTTAATATTTACCAGTACTAAACGTGTTTTCTGACGCTCCCGTTACACCGACAGTTCGTTCTTACGGCAATCTAAACATTCAAGTACTTTCCTGTAAAACGACGAAGTCGTGCTCAGGACCCTGGCGTATTTTTTTTTTTGTGTACAAATTTCCGTTAGCCGTCACACCTGCGTCATGTCATGCTATGTGCGTTTCCAGTAAATGTATGGCATTTGTGTGTGTGTGTGTTTATAGTGTTAGTTATACTCAGCGCCGGAATGTCCGAGTTTTATCATCGTCCATGCCGGACTCCAGAAGTCGCATCGGGGACGTCTTTTCATGCCAAACTTCCTTGTCCTATTCTTCGTTCTTTGGTGGTGGGTGGAGGTACGACAATACTGCCAAGGCATCATGTTCCGTGACGGCAACAAACAAAAACGGCTCTTGTTAAGTCCACCCTCTCATGTAAGTCACGAAATGTCAACCAGTTGTCTCTTGTACCTGAGGTGGCTTGACCTTGACATGCCGTGTGCCTTCTCCGCGACGTGCACGCCTCGAGAGATGGCATTTGTAATGCGTTTACACATTTATAGGGCGTTCCTTAGACAATCTTACGGCGTTTATATGCGACCCTACGGAGTCTTCAGTGCGTTCAATGGGTGTGCACAACGACCTGAGGACATCATGGAAACGTCATAGATATATTAAGAACTACCTAGACGCACTGAAAACGCTAATGTTATAACAGAGTAGCCAGTTACATGTTAAACAATTTTTCTGCGTTTATACAGCGACTATATGCGGCATGTAGAGTACGTTGTTAATACGTGCTTGGGGTGTTTATGGTGTTCTAACTGCAACTATTGCGTCCCTAGTTTATTCTAGATCGATCCTCAGCGTTTCTTTTGTGCATGTTCAAAATAGTCGCCATGAATCTGCGTCCTAAGCTGCAATTGTGGTCTTTACGTTCTCAACTCGGCCCTTACGGGGCCAATGACGTTTCTTCTGCGTTCTAGTTCACCCTTGGAAAGCAGTAAGGTGGCAAGTCCTGTGTGACGGTGGCATAACAAGTAACATATACGGAATGTGTTCACTGTTATATTTATGTAAATTTTCCATGCTTTAAGTTTTTTCATCACAATTATATAGTGGGTTTTTCGATGTTTATAGCATAACAATGCAAATTTACTGGTCCTCTGCCGCGTTACTAATTATCCGTTCAAACAACTAGTTCACTTCTTCACGAAGCCTATCTTCTTAAAATTGACTCACTATTCTAGATAATGATTCTTTTTGCTGTCAGCAGAACCTATCAATTATAACAACGTTCTCATTTAAAGTCAAATTAAGCACTTGATATATTAAAAAGCTGAGAACTGAGCGCGGTCTGTTTGCTTCGATCTACATTTATATTATTTATATGAATATTCTGTGCGTACGAAGTGAATGTTGATCATCCTCTATGCAATGTTTTGTTTGATATTTATCAATTCTCTTTTGCCAATTTTCCACTACTTTTTAGGTTTTTGCTGTCGGTATTGGTAATGTTAATGATACCGAATTAATGAGCATCGCGTCTCACCAGGACTATGTAGTCAAAGTTGATAACACCGAAGAACTAACAAAACGTTTACCTGATCTCACTGATAATGCATGTGGTAAGTCTAACTTCAGGATTCTAATCTGAGACAAAAATCAAAAGTTAATGAGAATTCAGCGTATATCCACTCACATATAAGTAATAAAGATTAATAAACGTCTGCATGATTACAATGAATTCTATAGTAAAACAAGAGCCCGAAGCAGGAAAGGCACAGATATAAAGGCATGGTAACTATTAAAATATGTTAGAAGAAAAAAAAAGAACCTTTTCTGGCATTTGCGCTTATTCCTCGACACATGTATGTCAAGTTGTTTGATCCATCCGTAAGTGAGCGTCTATTCACAATCATTGCGTTTTTCGTGCATGTATGACTTTGCCCTCTCACCTAAAAAATAGTTTTAAATATTTGAAAAATTTTGGCTTTGACAACAACAAATAGAACAATAATTTGGTATTATACATGCTGCTAATGTATCTGATATATATAACATCACGTTGATCACCAATTATCTTGTTTCCGAAGTTTGTCGGTAAGGACCGAAAGCTTGCGATCGTTCTGTGAAAAATACAAGAAAATTAGTCCACCGAGTAGTGTATTAAGCATACAGCAAAAGGAAAAACGGGTTCGCTAGATATAGATTCTAGTCGGCACAAATGTATGTAACTGAAATATTGTAACGTAATACTATTCTACACTGGCGAGAACGGATCCACCTAATGAAAAAACAAGTAAACAAACCATTTAAACAAACACGATATCTATAAATAAGATTCCAAGGCTGAACATTTCAACAGTTGTACATTGATTATATATATAATTATGATATTTTACATTGTAGAGTTGTTGAAGGATGATCCTGATGACGAAATAACAGAGTCCACAACTGTTATGACACCAACTGCAGGTAGAGGTCGTACATTATTCTTGTTGCATCTCATTATAACATTGTCAATAACAATAAAAATAAAATAAAATATACAGATACCGGTATCTGTGTTTAAATTTGGCGCATGTATTTAATTCATAACCTGACATGTATAATGTATGTACATCAACTGGTATTTTTACTTTTGTATAAATACACCAAGAAACCGGAACCTCTGAAGATTGGCCAACTTTTTTTTCAAAAAATAAAGGGGAATGTGGAAGCGGTATGCTTCGTGGGATGTTGAGTGCAGGAAGCGTTTGGGTCGATTTTTAAAATAAATTGTCCAGCATTAACTCATCGATGAGTGGTCGTTATAAACTTTCTTTAGCGTTTTAATTCATTTGGTATTGATCATTTCATCAATTTCCCATGTGCCAACCAATCTCTATCTTTTATGATTCCTGACAATGGTTTTCGGCTTGTGATATCAAAGTGACAAAATAATCAATTTATCTTAAGAGGTTTTATTTTCATTAATAAAGGAGATAAAACAATGACATACATGTTTACCTGAAATCTGAAGCTATATTTAATTGTTGGTTTCACTTTAGAATAAACAATAACAAAATTTATTGAAAAAAAAATTTAACCTTAAAAGTGGACTAAAATACGATTGGTTAGTGTTCTAGGGTAATGTATTGACATGTTATTTATTTTGCAGGTGGAGATCGTTGCTTCCGTGAGCACGGTGAGCATTGAACACAATTATTATTTCTAAATTTAGACAATCTAATAAAAAAAGCATAATTAAGAATGATAGGTTTTATGTCATAAAAGAATTAAATAAATCCTGTGCTTGATTAAATTATGAATGTCAGTTTACAGTTTCACCACCGTGTGGTGACTTCCTAATATATGCAACTTATTTAATAAAGCTCCAAAGGAATAGTAACAAATATTTTATTTATTCATTTAAATTCTTTTGCCAAAATATTCTCAAGTCCTATAATATTTTACTTTTTTATGGATGTTCTATTGAAAATTTGATCTTCATATGGATTTATATTGAAGGAACTTGTACCCTCGAAGAATACAATAATTTAAGACTGACAGCTCTTCATGGAACGAATTGTGAACAGTTTTGTCAGTGTTCACATGCGTCAACGGAATTAGACGGTTCCGTCACGCATTACTGGGTGGAACAATCATGCGGCCCAGGAACATTGTTTGATGAACGCATTTCCGTCTGCAATCACGATTACGACGTTGAATGCAATGGTAAGAGGATATATAAGATTAGCTTATGAAAATCATCATGTTCAATTTAATATGTAACGCCTGTTTACATGTTTCGAAGATATTGTCATAATTCTAAACATGATTTTATTCAGTTACCAGTTTTCAAGACAAATAAGTTTATGGAAGCTTTTGGCACATTGTGTTCTTTTAGAATCGATGTACTTTGACAAATTTTGGGTATGGCAAGTCGCAAAAATGAATGTTCTAATGTTGTGCATGACATAAACATTGAAAGAGCCGTACCCTCACCAGTGTTAAATTAGAAAAAAATGAAGGTGTAAAGTGACGATTGTTTTTCATTGATTTAATTTTATTGAAACATAATTTCGTTCTTTTTCATGATTGCCAATAATCACGTTAGCGGTCATATCTCCTCATTTGCGCTTATCGTCAGCCCATTTACCCACTTTCTTTTCGTCATGAATTAAATAAAAATTTTACTCGTTAATTTTAATCATTTTCTTTTGTTGAATTTTTTTGTAGTGGCCTCTAGGCGGCAGACCTCCAACTAATTACAATATGGCATTGTGTTCTATGAAGAAATCAAAACAAAAACAAATAACAAAATTAAAAAGAATTAAAAACATTTTTTTTATTGTAAGAAATTATAATATAAATTCACAATGTACACAATATTCCAGTTGCAAATTTTAAATGTACATGTACTAGAAACAGAGTTTGCAATTTCATGAGAATATTCAATTAGACTTTAGAAATAGAGGCCACAAATTCTAGAAAAATGAAAACTCAAAAGGACTTATAATACATTCAAATGTAACAGTTATATACGGTTTAACTTAAAATACTGATAATTGCAGACACTCCCCCACCAACAGAAGCACCAACACAAGCACCAACCCAAGAACCAACAGAACCAAGTGATGAATCAACAAGTGCTCCTGGTAATGGTATTTCTTTTAACTGGAAAACTAAAAATAGTATTTCATATCTTCTAAATTAGCATACATGCAAAATAATTGTTTTTGGCCAGTTACATATCCAAATATGATATCGTTATATAGTAAACTCAAATGTCAATTACCACGTGGAGGTAGGCTTATCAGACTTATATGCTCTTATTCTAGTTAAAAAAAATGAGATTAACTAATTTAAAGTTGGTATACCTATGAAGAGAATAAAGAATGTATGATTTACTTAACGGAGTTATTTTTGTTATAAAAACTTAAGATGTGGTAAATACTAAAATGACGTCTTTGAAGTGATCAGTGGCAAATTATTGTTCCAAGTGGTTTTTCAAAATGTTCTTTTTTAATTGAAGGTGGAGATCGTTGCTTTAAAGAACACGGTAAGTTTTGAACGCAATTATAAAGTTATTTAGATAATTTAGACGAACCCTTTTCGTGTGCAATTAAGCCTGATTGTTGTATAAGTACAAGGTTTGAAAATAATTTCCGAGTATTTTATATGATATTTAACGTGCCCCCATTTAACTAAAGATAACTTTTATACCTATGTCCAATATTCTTTTGCGGATTCTACAATCAAATTGAAGATCAAGCAATTTTTACTTTCATAGCTAATAACTAATCATGAACATACACATACACACACATAGGCATACATGCATATAGGTCGTAATAAGCAGGTAGAAGACGTTAACTTTTTTTCTTTATATTGAAGGAACTTGTACCCTCGAAGAATATGAAGATGTAAGACTTACTGCTCTGCACGGTACGAATTGTGAACAATTTTGTCAATGTGCGCATGAGTCAACGGAATTAGACGGTTCCGTCACACATTACTGGGTGGAACATTCATGCGGCGCAGGAACATTATTTGATGAAAGCATTTCCGTCTGCAACCATGAGGACAGTTTTACTTGTACTGGTAAGTCTATTTTAAAGCAGCACGCCTCGAGATTCATGCTTGTTTTTATGAAAATTTTGAAAATGTATTTGAATGTGTAATATTGTGAAGGAACCAAATGGAAGCATTGAACACATCATTAATAGCACTTACAAACCACGTAAATTACCAAAATGTGGTCAAAATATGCAAGATAGCATATACCGCGTTAGTAATGCAGTAGAAATATAGTTGTAAATTCAGAAAAATTAGACATTCAGACATTAATCGCACCTAATATGAAAACAAAAATACTTGAATCTTAAAACTTTTTACTTTTCTTTACATCTTTGTTCATTTTTCTCAAGTTTATTTTTTTTTAATTATTTTAACTCTTCTGGAGGCATGTAGCTTTTATAAGGCATACATTTTTCATTTAATGTCAATTACATCAATTATTTTCCTTTATACTTTAATGAAAAAAATAGATTAAGACCAAATCGATTGCAAGTTTCATCATCATTAATTATATGTATCATTAATAATAAAAATCTAAATTCCAATACAAAAATGAACTACACATATGACTTTACAATAAAATTGTAACGAAACATTATGTTGTGTCACAACAAAAAAGACTTTTTAAATTCATCAAGTCCACAGCATATAAAAAATGAAAAAAAATAAGGAAAAGAAGAAATACTTTTCATGTGTAACAGCTACAGTTCACCTCAACATTTTTGTAATTGCAGACACTTCTCCTCCAACACAAGCACCGACACAAGAACCTACAGAACCAAGTGATGAATCAACAGAAGTTCCTGGTAATAATGTTACTTATTTAACTGGAAAACTAAAAAAAGATTTTCGTATTATTTCGTATATGCATATACTATTCAATAAAACAATAAAAGTGTACATGCATTAGGCCATTTACATACATTTATATATGATAGCGTTTCGTATATGCATGTGCGTGCAGTTAGGCTGATCAGATGAATAGTATGTTACGCAGATACTAGTTTGTGAGAATTTTTACATTTTCAAGTCGACATAACTTTAAGAGAGATCGAAGAACGCTTGATTCAAATAAACGGCTTTGAGTTTGTCATTTAAACAATGTAGAAATCGGTAATAATATAAACACGGCTTTAAAATTGTAAGATGATAGTTAATTCTCGTTACCTCAGAATATGTTTCTACAAATTGTACTATTTGCAGGTGAAGATCGTTGCTTCGAAGAACACGGTAAGCATGAGAAGGCAATTATTTCATTTATAACATTTAAAAAAAAGCCCATTCATTTACAGCAAAAAAATCTTGAAACAAAAGTGATCCCTCGGAAGCATTAATCACAACAAAATTACATGAACAAAGCAGAGTGTGGTTGTAATTAGTTCAAGAGTAATCTATGAATGTTGTTTATTTTTATTGAACAATTCCTAAACAAATGTTAACATATACATCCTAGTATATCTGATTTTATATGGATTCTAATACCGAAGTTAAAAGCAGGTAAATTTTGTCATCATAATATATAAACAGAAATTGACATCAACTTGGAGAAACTGTTATATTGTTGTTTCTTTATTGAAGGAACTTGTACGCTCGAAGAATACAATAATTTAAGACTAACAGCTCTTCATGGAACGAACTGCGAACAATTTTGTCAGTGTGCGCATGAGTCAACAGAATTAGACGGTTCCGTCAAGCATTATTGGGTGGAACATTCATGCGGCGCGGGAACATTATTTGATGAAAGCATTTCCGTCTGCAACCATGAAAGCAGCTTTAATTGTACTGGTAAGTATATTTTAATAAAGCTTAAATTTTTTATTTAACGTCAATGGCATGAAATATTTTACTTTATATTCTTTTAAAAAGAAATAGATTAAGACCAAATCATTTGCAAGTTTCATCTTCATTTATAATACACATGTATGTATCATAAATTATTAAAATATAAATTTCAATTAAAAAATAAACTATTCTTAAACATATACATGGTCAATAGGATTTTTTATCTATTTCATTTTAGTACAAATGTATTATGTCGTAGTAACGAAACATTATGCATTATCATAAAACAACAAACAAGACTTTTTTAATTCATCAAGACCACAGCATATAAGAAAATGAAAAATTTAGGTACCTTAGAAACAACTTTCATATGTAAAAGCTAGGTTAACCTCGCCATTTTGTTCAAATTATTCCAATCTATTCATTATATTTCTATTTTGTTGTCTATGATAAGTGTTCAAGTAATAATGTTCAGTATCCTTGTAGTTTAATAAAATTTGTTCTTTTCCAACTTTTTATCGGACGTTGTTCTCTTTTATCTTTGTTATGAAACGAACTTTATTGTCATCCAATTTTCTGTTTGTTCAGCTTTTCTTTTTGTATTCTGTTTTAACAATTGATTCTTTGTCAATAAATGTGATGAATTTTTCTGCAAGCGGCAGTTTAAAAAAGAAGAACACAACAGATAAATATTCATTATATAAGAAAATATTGATTTATAGCAAATTGATCAGGAAAACAAAGTTACGTGATTTTCTATTTTGTATATCTATAACACAAAACGCAAGAAAATAAAAAAGAAAATACGAAGTAGGAGAACAAATATTTCGTATACTTACAAAAAGGAAAAAATATTTCTGATGATTTACATATATTTTTTTGACAAATTACAGATATCTCTCCACCAACTCAAGGACCAACAGAAGCTCCAACGCAGATACCTACAGAACCGAGTGATGAGTCAACAGGTGCCCCTGGTAATCAGTTTAGTCTTTGAAGCTAAAAAAATGTTTTTTTAATCATCTAATTCTGTGGTTTAAGCTGAATACATGTATGTAAAGTGCATTAAGCCTTTTAAGAAATACGAATTATTCTTTTATCTTTTATACCATTAAATATGCGTGCAAATCAGTTTTAACAATAACGAAATAATTTTATATAATTCACAACAAATTATGCATAAGCAGTTACTTAGTAATTTATTAAATTTACAATCATATTGACATAGTTATGACTTATTTTGAGGAAAGAATTTTTATTTATATTCTTCTGACATATCTTTGTAAGGTATTTATATTTGTTACAACAAGGCACAATGTTCCAATATATTTTTATTGGTGCCGCTAAGCCTGGGATTCAGGTGTTGATATTTTTGTTTATTTATAACATACACGCTACATACTCGTTCGTGTTTTCATAATATCAATGTCGATTTTCCGAAGCACATAAAAAATCGACAGAGTGGAACCCAGGTTAGGTGCTGCTGTTTTTGTTTTTCCATCTTTGTCTAACGTTTTTATTTATTCCTCGTTCGAAATGGATAAAAGAATTAACTTCAGAAAAACATGTTTTTCTAAGTTGTAATTGTTGTTAAATTCATTAAACTAAAATTGAGTACCACCAAAGCCGGTGCTATGGGTCGAGATGGGTGTTGCACTTCTTCATTATCCCAAATGTACTGACTTAATCAAACCGAGTCTACAATTTGTATTTAATTTTGCTGATTTTGATGCGTCCGATGGATAATTGTTTCCAGGTAGTTATTCATATCTTTCTCAGTGGGTTTCTTTCCCAACATTAGGTCGAATTTCCCAAGAGAAACATATCCAGAGTAGCGGATGAATGGATAATTGATGCGACTTTGTAGGCACCTTTGGGATTTTTTTTTCGTGAAACTTTGATTATTTGGCGGGTTAACGTGTACGAATATATGTGTATGTATCTGTTCTAATCTAATACACCAGACCTCGGTTCGGCCTTTGAAAGTTGATTTTATATACAAAACTAGTATATTATAACAATATTTCATACATTTATTTTTGCAGAAAATGACCGTTGCTACGCTGGTTTGGGTAAGTAGAAAACAATAAAAAAAACAAACAAACAACGAAACAAAATAAGCAAAACACCATCCTCCTTGAAAGACAAGTAAACACATTGTGTTTTTTACTCCATGCACACTAATATATAAGATATTTCAGAAGCGCCTTTTTTATTAAATAACAACGGACACACAAGAACATACGTATTTTATTTTTTTTAAAAATTCATGATATTTCAAACTTAATTTCAGAATCATTTTTGTTTTATAATAAAGCTTTTTTATAAGTTTAAAATTTTACACCAACCTTCATTGTTAGCTGAGTAGACAAGTTTGGTTTACAGGTGGGGAAAACTTTAAATATACATTCGTGCACCATTTCTAACCAGGGCAGGTTTCAGTGTTGAACCACCTATCTATTTCAATTCAATTTTTCAGCCCTTTCCGTCCGTCTTCCGATAAGGACTATAATAATTATTATCATTATGATGATGAATAATAGCCGATGACGTTCCGATTGTAACTATTTCAGGCGATTGTTCCTTAGAAGATTTTGAGGACAGGAGACTTAATCTTCTTGGTGGTACAAATTGTCGTTACTTCTGCCAGTGTGCGCATGCGTCAACGTTGAATACCGGCGCCGTAACCCACTATTGGGTAGAACATATGTGTCCATTGGGGACATTATTTGACGATTCTTTGCCGGGATGTGGCCACGAAAGTCAAGTGACATGTTCTGGTTAGCATATTTTTTTGAAATCTCAAGCCAAAGTTCTTTTCCATACTGACTTATCACATATATACGATATGTTTATTTTTGTGGTCAATTTGTTATTCTGTGTCAAAAGACATATAGGAAAATATTGACTTTATATTTCTCTTAATCAGCTAACACGTGGTCTCTGCCTTAGGGGGAGCGGAACAACAAAACACCGTTTGAAAAAGGAGAAGAAAATACAAAAAATAATCTTCTGATATTTACTAATAACATTCTATTAAGTAGACCACAAGAATTAAATAGCATTTCACAGGCTCACCCATTTCAAATTCTGTTCTATCCGTTTTAAATCCAAATCTACATGTGTCGTAGGTCTTAGCTTGTTTTAGTCTTTTTTTTTTCTAAAAAAATATGTTCATTTTTTTTACTTCATTTTGTTTCAGATACAGGGCCTTCCACAATACCACCATCGAGTATGTATAGCAAAACACATTCATGCCAATCCGCCCCGAAAATATGAAAGAAAAATAAACGAAAAATATATAAAAAATATAAAATACATAAATTTAAGCACGATTATTTCCAATGTGTCTCTAGTTTTTTACTGACTCATACACTGTCTATTTTCCTAGTTATTATTATAAAATATTAACCAATGTTTTAATTGGTTCAATCTAGAAATATAAATATGTTTGGAAATATTTGATTGGTTGATGCCTTTATAACACTAAAAAAGGACCATGCAATCTGATTGGTAGACACTTTTATACGTTTTTTTTTTCAACATTGTTTATCCAGTTTGTTCTACATGTACAATATATCTATTCATATAACATTTAATTGATTATGCATCTTTTTAAATTTTGATTGGGTTTATGCTCGATTGCCAAACAAGTTCTTGCATCTTATATACATCACTTTCGAGTCCGCTTCCTGGAACCAACCAGTACCGGTGTCATATGAAGAAACATGGTCGTGACCCGATATTGGCTCGAATCCATGAACCCTGGGTTGAAAGGCAGACACCTTACTCCCCTAAAATGTTTGTTTAATGTCGGTGAAATATAATTCAAATTAACGTTAAACTTTTAACTGCTTAGCTTGCGCTCTCGGACTCGATTTATGAGCTAATGAAAATGATAATGTTATTTAATCATTACACAAACGCTGGTAAAAATCGTGAAATATTTTTCTTATCATAAGTTATATGTTCTCATGAAATAAGGTGATATTATCATTGCGAAGCAATTTGACGATTTCACCACTGATTGAATTAAAACCTGATTTTTTTTCTGTACTTGACAGCGATTCCTCCGTCCACCCCAGCACCAATTGACAACCCAGGTAAGCTGTTTCAATCTTCCGTCAAAATTGTAATACCTTTGTTCATCCTACTCGACTTTTTGTCATCCTTAACATATAAAAATGCGATAAAACTTTAGCATAATATAATGCGGCAAAAGGTGAATTGAAGTTCAACCATATCCCTGATTCGATGCCGGGACAAAGGTTTCAAACGAAGCCTGCAACATTTTCAGTTTATCGTTTAAAACGTTCGTATAAAGTCTCGTTTTTCTATATTTCAACAATTTCGCTGCAATACCAGTCTTACTATGTTGAGCAATGTTTGTTTGAAATCTATTTCAACTGCACTTGTTGTAAGAAATGATTTACATTACAACGTTAAAAGTAACGGAATCGTTTTCTGTTCCGTTACTCATTTAAAACTGAAAATTGACAATAGAAATTTAAAAAGTTTAGAAATTTTTTTTACTCACATGTATGGAAAAAATAACAACAACTGCAACAGCAACAGCAACTAATTTGTATATATTTTTATCAGGTTGTATTGAAGCAGGTATGTTAAAACAACAGTAGTGTTTCTTCTGTATTTGCAATGGAAACGCACCGTATATTTTAAAGCACTTATAACGGTTTCTGTGCCATTAAAAAATTGAACGTCTATCACTTAAGAATGTATCTGGTTGGTGTAGGCACTGGTGAAGTAAATACGAGTACAGGCACTTTTTAGATCTGAATGCAGGTAACTAAAATATAAACGCCTGTTAATATCTAGTACTGTGCAAGGTAACTCAAATATAAATGACTTTTCAAATTTAGTGCTGCGCAGGTATGCCTGTTAAAATTTAGTTCTGCGCAGGTAACTACAATATAAATGCCTGTTAAAATTTAGTACTGCGCAGGTAACTTTAATATAAATGACTCGGTGTCCACTATATATAAATACGATGTTAAAAATGTAAGTATGAAAACTGAGAGTTCAAACAAACTCAATATTAACCAGATATTTAAACTTCACTACACGTGCATACAACAGGTATGAAAACATTGTCTCGTACTTCGTGATCACCTCAGTATTGTTGTTTTGTGTGTGTGTGTTTTTTTGGTCCTTTGGTATCATTGATTCCAACATTTTTAAATGTTGAAAATTGAATAGCACTCAAGTCGGTACTAAGTGGCGTATTGGATGTTACAATTTTTGTATGACTCCTCATGTACAAACTTAACAAAACCGAGTCTGATTTTTCATGTAATTTTGTTGTGTTAAATGCTTTAGATGGATCATACTTTATCCTGATATAGGTATCTGCAAAATATGAGCACTGGAATTCTTACCATTTGAATACTTTCTACTACATTTGCAAAATATAATTACCAGCAGAGATATACTTTTGACTGCATATTCATTAAGTTATATGTTAAATCATTAAGATTATCTGTATTGTCAGAGTTTCTGTTTGGAAACATCGTCTTATTTATTTCTCCTCATATCTCTTCAGAGACAGGTATTAAGTAATTTGTTTTATAAAAGCATAATGCTCTTTAATGTATTTTCTTAATTCAACTTCTTCATTTCTTTGCACTGCAAATATTCATTTAAATCGTATTGGGATGAAAGCATTTCAAGTTGTACAGTTTAGCACGCACTGGTTTACCTTTTCTTTGTTAGAACCAAAAAACGAATACGCTTAAAATGCACTATATAGTCAGGTCCGGCAGCACATTCAGTTTGAATGACCACTCAATTTAGTATTTTGTATTTATACTAATTAAACCCATTATAACTACAATATTCGACTGTTTCAAATTGAAAGCAGGAAAAGTCAATAATTTCCTAATTTACATTACATTTGTATAATATAAGATATTATCTAAACTTATTTTACAACAAGGGTTATCATAATTGTCGCCGGCTACATCTACAATTAACAAGATTTGACAATTTCAACCCATACACCGCCTAACCTAAGCCAATCAAATGGAGAAATTAATAGCACTTGATCATAACAAAAAAGAAGAAAAGGGGCGCATACGGGGCACGCAATCCGCCATGTTTTGTATGGTTACCTATGTTTAGAATTTAAATACAATCTTAATGTACGAAGCTCGAAACCAGTATGTAGGCTCTCCTATGGGGTACATAATATATAGAATTATTTCTTTCTAAGAAAGAAAAGAAACATTAGCTATTTTGTTCAGTAGTCTATTACACCAAAAAGAAAACCCTATATTTTTAAATATCCCGTTGAACGGATTTTTATAGCATTTTTTGGAAATGCTTATACTTGTATTTGAATTACAGATCCATGCAGCCAGCATGATTATGAAGTACGGCGCTTAAAACCTTTATACGGCTCTGGCTGTGAACAGTTCTGCCACTGTGCTCACCAGGAGGGATCCGCTGGTACCAACGTTGAATACTACTGGGAGGTACAGACTTGCCCTCCGAGCACTCTGTTTGACGAAAGTCTTCCAACCCCTGTGTGTAATCATGACTATAACGTTGAATGTGAAGGTTCGTAATGTTTCTCATTCTTGGCTAGTTTAATTATATATATGTATGCTACTTTGAAAATTTATAAAGTTGATTGTCAAGGTTCGTAAAGTTTTCTCATTCTTGACTAGTTTAATGATACATGCATACGAGTTTAAAAATTTTTAAAGTTGAATGTCAAGGTTCGTAATGTTTTCTCATTCTTGACTAGTTTAATTATATATGTATATGAGTTTAAAGATTTGGTAGTTCTATGAATACTACGTTTTATTTCAGTAGTAACTTTCTAAAGAAAACTTCATGAAAATTATTTTCAAAAAAATGAAATGATGTTGTTTTTTTTAGTGAAAGAAACGTGAACATGTTGTTTAGCAGAATTTTTACCTTATAACTTCATTTTTCTCTCAAGTTATACGAACGTAAATAAACTTTCGATTCTTAAAATTTGTTTCGTTTCAGATATCCCAACATGAAAATGATGCACAATTTTGAAGAGTTGTTTAAGAACGTTAATACAACACGATAGAATTAAAAAAAATGTATTTCGCCAATGTAATTTTGCAATTATAAATAGACAGCCCTGATTCTCTTTTAACTGGACAATGCATACGTACAACTACTCTTTTCAATATACAATAAATACTTTAACGGTGATTCTTAAATAGACGCCATTTTGTTAAATAGACAATACAGAAACCGAGCCACATCTTATTTCTCTTGACATCTGTTTACCTACATTTGTTTCTGAATTGTAAGTTACAAAACCTTCACTGAATCAAGATGTTAAGGATTAGTTTAAAGAACAGCAGTTTTGTAAGTTTATAACATACTTTAGGCCTTTTTAAAAGTCTCTATGAATTTAGATTGCTTAATTACAATATTCTAAAATTCAATTATTCAATTTCAATTCAATTTTTCAAATTCAATTGCAAGATGTTCTCGTTTTACCCCGATTATCTTTTTTAAAAGGATACTTATTGTTTCCTTTCGGTGTCTTACTATTATCTAATATTTAAATGTAAAGCCAAATGTTCGCTAAATATACTTCCTTATAGCAAACCTATATAATTATATGCACCAATTTCAAATTCCCCATTTTTATACTTTGGGTAAAAAAATGCCAAAAATAAATGTTTTCGTGGTGGATCAAGAAATGGCAGTCTGGTCCAAATTCAAACAATTTAATGTCACAATATATTGTTGGATCAAATCTAAAGTAAGAATATCATTTTATATACTATAAAACCAAAACATATTTAAAAAAATGTCTTTATGGTCGGGCAAGAAAATAGTTGGTAATTTTCTGTATTACTTATGAAATTAATTAAAGTTTGAATCACTATATAACAAATTAAAGTTGTTTTAACATTTACATTGCCGTGTGAAAAAAGGTCAACAACATTTGCATAAATATTTCAATTAACGAAAGAAATGTACATTTGTAAACATGAAAATTGTTGTAAAATACATAAACTCCACTTGTTAACTTTGATTATTTGTTGTTATTGGTAGTTTTTGATTTTTCGCTTTGTTTTATTTCTGTTGTTTTTGTTGTTTTTTTTTTGTTTAAGTTCATTTTGGGCGTCTTTGACTGCTATCTTTTGTGTGCATTTGTCAGTCATATGGTTTGATAATTTGCTATATTTTACTCTTTTTTTTTCACAATATCAAACATGTACTTTGATCTGAGTTCTGGAAATAAGTAATACTTTTAAAAAGTTAGCATTCAATAGGAGTGAAAATTGAAAGGTTGGCTGGGCTGTAATTGTTTCATACATTGTATGAAAGCATATAAGATAGAGCATCGGTGACGAAGTCAAGCTAGCACCTGATCGAGCACTGTGCAATATACAGACGTTAAGATAAATTGGATCTGATAACCGCAAAAAAACTAGACAATAGGAAAACTCTGCACAGCCACTAGGAAACAGTCCGAACCGCCATTGTCATTTAGCTGTTTAAATAGTGACCCATCTTCATCCCTACTCCAACAGCAGTGTCAACAACTCGGAAATTTGTAGACTTTGAATCGGCTACATTTTGTGAATTAATTTTGTTTTCAAAAATTCTTTTGACTTGATACTACTTACTGATTGTCAAAGTTTTTATTACTGATTGTCAAAGTTTTTATTCATTGTTTTTTATATACGTTTTATTTTATCATTTCCCCTTTCTTTACATTGTTTGTTTAAGTTGCAATCTTTTGTCCTCTGAATATAATGTTATTGTTTGTATTGTTAAAATATATTTTACGTTCATGCTTTCGCTTTAAAAAGAAAATGAAAACGTTTTATCAAAATCAAACTCATTATATCTAAAACTTATAGTAAAATAGTTTCATCAAATTCAATTGCAAGTTTATGTATCAAAACTCCTTGTTAAATGAAAAAAACATCAGTTATATTTTTAAACCAGTTAAGGAACCTAAATGTAAAATTAAAAAAAATAATTGTTTGTTTAACAACCATTCTATTCTATATATGTTTGTATCCTTGTCATCATGAAATTAAACGGTTTGAATTCATAGTCACATTGTATACTTATTGTTGTTATTTCCCCCCTTATTCCGGAATTCAGAAGTTACTGATCATTGTTACCTAGTCCCTTTGAAAACCAGGATGTTTCATTTTATATAGCCGGTCTGTCCGTCCGACCGATTGAGGACAGGACATCGTTTAATCATTAAATAGAGAACGTTTCGGTCTGCAGTCTTTGGATTTCACGAAGCTGTTGGTCATTACTTGTAAATAATTTCTAGTGATTTGAGGTCACTGAGACTATCCACAAAAGCTCGTCTTATTACAATCTAACGAACGCCTCGGTCGTCAGTTGGTGCAAGTTGATCATGAACGATAAATTATGACACTTGACCGATCAGTAAGTAAAGAACAATTTGGCCTTAAGTCCTTAGATTTGGTGGCAAATTAAAGAAGTCATGACTGGTAAATTACTCGTTCGTAGTTTTAAGGTCAGTAGGTCAAATACCAAGGTCTCTACCATGGTGTCATTCACCACGAAATATCTTTTTTTGGTAGACACATGTTTCACGAACATCTTGTGTTTTTCTATTAAAATTTAAATAAACTTAAATTATCAGAGTATATAATGTTTAAGAGGTGTGTACAGATTGTGAACTGACACAGAAAATCAATTGCAACATACATTATATGTATTGATTTCACTATACGTATTCATGTAGAAACAAGGAGAAGAAGAAGTATAGGCTACGTGGTAGATCGGGCGGGTAATAAATAATATATTTAAGTTAATTAGAATCAGTTTAGACTGTACTTACGAGTAATTATTTAAGAATGTTTCGGTGGTGCTTATCAGTTTAGACTGTTGATGAGTCGGAATTGTAAACGAAATATTAAAGCTGTAAAAAGAGTTGAATTTAACAGTATTGAATGCAGCAATTGTAAATATAGTTGTTGCCTCTTTATCTACGTACTCCATCGATTCTTATGTTATTGTCGGTTTTTTCCTAGATGTTTTTTATTTGATAAGACGTGGTTATAATATATCGTTGAGTACAATACTGAATTCTACATTTGACAAGTGTGCAGCAGTGGAACATGTATCGGACGAGAAGTAAGCTTCTTCTTCCCATTAAAGTACGTACAGGACCAGCACTGAAACATCAACATATTCCGTGACATTACGTGGTGTGTATGGGGAACAAGTATAGTTGGTACCCCAGATGTGACGCCGGCTGACTTTGACGAGTGACTCTTAACAAGAACCATCTGGAATATTTGGCTAAGGAGCTCTTTATCCAGCTTAGTGCCAACCATGTACATGTTTAACCCAATACATGTAAACCCATCATCAAAAATAAGTATGTCTATACACGTATGTTTTTGTATTTCAATATTGTGTAAGCATTACACCTGTCTGTTTCGATAATGAGTATATGCAGCTAGGGGTGTACGTGAGAGTCTTGATGCCTTTATTGGAGAGGTCATGAGACCTCTCCACAGTGTTCAGACTGATTGCTGGCGGCATCCATTTTTGCGTATCTGATTGTACATAGTGAACGAATCTCATTTAAAGCCTAAAATCATTAGGAGCAAAAATTGTTTTGCACATGCTCCATTTCAAAATACGACTTAACTTAAAAGGAAAATTAACATCGAAGTGAAAAAATCGGTACATAGAAAAATCGGAGAATACCACTTACGATATTTGGTGACGGCCCGGTGAATTTTCGTGTTCTTTGTTCTATAGTAAATCAGTCACATTTGAGGCTTAATTCAGGATTCCACTGTTCTTGATGAATTATATACTGTCTTCAACTTTAAACATCAACACTATTTAAGTCAAATGAGGCCCAAAATATAATAGGTTAGCCATCTAGTTTTTTCAGAAATCTTCACTCTGTTGTAACACAGTTTAAATTCACCACTTTGAAAACTCCTGACTGCTGGTGGGTGGTACATCTTTAATCCTTCCGCCAACAAATGAGTTCCTGGAGAATACACAAAAAAAACAACTTTTAAACACATCATAATAACACACAAAAACCACTCACATGCAATAAATACACTTTAATTATGACCAATCTAACTAGAGATGACTTAAATTGGGCCACTTCAAAATTTTAAAGAACTACTTTCTAGACTACAACGGGTTGGGTCTAATTCCGTACCGGGTTGAGACCTAAATGAATCCAAAATTTAAGTTAAGCCAAAATTTATACTCATTTCCTAGTAATTTAGTGTTATACAAGTACATTCATATAGGTTTGACATGTCTCTAACAAATTACATTAATGCAGTACAATTTCTTAAATATAAAAATTCATGCGAAAAATCAGCCTCGGCCAATAGAATTTTACGCAAAAATTTATATCACAAATTCTGTCATATCTTTTGATTTTGCCAATGGATTTTCTTCAAATAAAGTTTGATGTTACCGGCTAATGTCATTTAGTTATTTTTATGAAAGAATAAGCCCTTATTGCTTTAAAATTGTAATATAAACTCCATTTATTTTAATGAGAGCATGAAATTTTGGGTTAAAATACAAGTAATCACAATTAAATGTGCTTTTTTCATAACTTTTTCCTTCAACATTGCAATAAAACTTACTGATTATGATTTTTACCTATATACCATGGTAAATAAAGTAAAGTACCAAGATATATACCCTATATTGTTTGCTTAAGATATCAATAAAGACAAACAGAGGTAATCTTAAGTTTAGCAAAGAGGTTACCATATCGCCATGGGCTATGTCTTCTGACAAGGTAAGATTAGCCAACTCTCACACAAATAAGGCTAAAAAATGATAGCACATACTGTATCCCACTTAAAATCATTGAGAAGTCTTAAAATAGTCAAAATTAGAGAAATTTTCTCCTGATATCAAAATATCTGCCAAATATGATATATACATCAAAATATCTGCTTAATATTGCCCGAGCATTGGGAGTCGTTGCCGGAAATAGCTGAATTTTCAAACTAGACATACGTTTTTACCTTCTCAACTTGTCCTGACAAATCTGCTGCCAAACTGAGCTGAAGGAGTTCTTCCATAGATCTTAACCAGTATAAGGTAAGGTCCTGTACTCAAACCCCGGCTTTGGTAACTGCATGGTCTGAAAAAATATGCAACACTAATACATGTCGAAGGAAATTATAAGAGGCATTTATGCTGTAATTCTGATATCAAAAAAAGAAAGAAAATCATTTCTTAATTAATCAATGGCTTGATTTGCTAATTCACACAGGAGGGCTTATTTATTGTGTGCTTAAAGATGCATACCTGCATGGAAATAACAGTTTAGACATTATAAACCTAACCTAATTTAACTGCTGTAGCAGCTGCTGCTACAAAAACAACAACAATCACACCAACTGTGTTATTCTAAATGAGCCAATTATCCATAAACTCACTGTTTAATGACTAGAAAATCTTTTGTATGTATATATTAGCAAATACATTCTGCAGCACAGCAAAACATCAAGTTTCATTACACTGAAAATGCCTATATTTCCAACAAGTAAATCACATTTGTCCTGTTCAATTGTCAGTTCTGCTTCATTGAAATACAAGACAATAGTGAATATTTACAATCTGATTACTACAGCATCAATACTTTGCTGAAACATCAGTGCATATAATGCGTGGTCCATATGAGCAATAGGCTACTATATATGGTGCTTGTTCGAATCCCATGGCCGGTGCTTCTTGGGCCCCTAAGACCTCTGGAATGAGTTTGCCAATCACTTTTTTTGCCAATGTAACCAGCCTGAAAACATGCACTCCCCAATGCCATGCAATGCATGGTTTATCCATAATTTAAGATGCATTTCTCTAAAACTTATCATTTTCTATATAAATCTTATGAAAATAAGCTATAGAACTATGTAAATTGCTAAACACAGGGTGCAAAAATAAAATTTATCAACTTATTAACTGCTTTAAACAAAATTTATATTTCATTTTTTAATTTTAAATTCATTTTTACAGTTTTAATTCAATAAAATGTGGTTAATCCTTCATGCAAAAGCTCTGTACCCTTCTTCTGCACTTACTGACACAGTAGCAGACATCTACATTTGAAGGGGAGATAACAATAACAACATCTGTCCCAATTTAAAATGTCAAAATTTAAAATTTGAAATAAAATTTAAAATTTTCAAACCTGTCAGTTATCCTTTATTTTCCTGATTTCTATGCATAAACACAACACTGATGCAAAGTTTCATCCATATTCATCAACCAGTTCCTATTTTTCACATTTCTTCTCTTAAAGAGGGTGTCGGCCTGGTGAATTTTCATATTCTTTGTTCTATAGTAAATCAGTCACATTTGAGGCTTAATTCTGGATTCCACTGTTCTTGATGAATTATATACTGTCTTCAACTTTAAACATCAACACTATGATCTAAGTCAAATGAGGCCCAAAATATAATAGGTTAGCCATCTCCTTTTTTCAGAAATCTTCATTCTGTTGTAACACAGTTTAAATTCACCACTTTAAAAACTCCTGACTGCTGGTGGTTGGTACATCTTTAATCATTCCGCCAACAAATGAGTTCCTGGAGAATACACAAAAAAACAACTTTTAAACACATCATAATAACACACAAAAACCACACACATGCAATAAATACACTTTAATTATGACCAATCTAACTAGAGATGACTTAAAATGGGCCACTTCAAAATTCTAAAGAACTACTTTCTAGACTACAACGGGTTGGGTCTAATTCCGTACCGGGTTGAGACCATTTAGCGCTACGTGAATGTTTCATTCCGTATTAATCTTTTAAAATGTATAAATCGATTACGTATTGTTTTCTGAATAGCGTTTCCGATAAATAGTAACTGTGAATATTACGGTACAATATCACCAGGCACTATTATATAACCGAGTGAACCGTGTACCGAAAGTTTGCTGCTCCACTTCTGAACAAGAACCGGTACTGTATGACTAAATAACGCAACGGAGATATTTTGGCGCAAATGACACAAATTTAACTCAAGATTTTCCTCAAATATTGGGGTTGTATGTACTGTTTATACCAATCAATTGATATAAACATTTTTATATAAATCTGGGACTTAAAACTGTTTGATTAATAAACTTTATGCCCGTTTTGGAAAATGTAGGGGAAATGTTTCCATAAACTTACCAAAACATTAACCGAAAATGTGCTTATTGAATTTAATTAGAAACTTTTATTTTGATACTAATTTTAATATATATGTATTTCACATGTGTATATCATGTATTTTAAATTCAGTTTGATGACATAACATAAATTGTTCCCTTTTAGAAAAAGTATCCATTTCTCCGGCATATTATCATTGAAAACATTTAAAAAAAATGAAGTGTAAAACAAACTTTCATTATGATACTATATTCAATATATATAATAGATTTTATTTGTTAAATAATTGTAATTTATAACCATTCAGTGTGTCTTTTATGCAAAAAATATCGCCAAATATTATCGAATTAAAAAGCAGCAAAAGACCTCTTGCATATCTTTTTAAAGAAGCAAACTTGTATATTATAATATAATCCGACATGTGTAACAGAAATGTACGTATTGCTCAGCATGTTTACGTTTATCAATTTTGAATACACGTCTGATAAGCATAAGGGTGGAGCTAAATATATCTAGAGCATAAGTATATTTTCGATGCCTATAAGTTTATCTGAATAAATCGAAAGGAAGTGTCTCTCAAGACAGAGACATTTAAAAGAGATAAATATAATATAAAGCTCAAGATTGCTACCTTTACAACCAGAGATGTAGAAAAATCTACATCTCTGTTACAAAGTACTATGTATAATTACATCTCTGTTACAAAGTACTATGTAATATGTATAAGTGGATCTCTCTACTAAAACAAGGATTAAAAAAAGAAATACTGTTTTGCTTTTCATTTAGATTTATTTTCAAAAACATATATCACGTAAAACGGACATTTTCCATCGATTAATTTCTAATTGTGACAAATATTTTTAAAAAATATAAAAAAAAAATAAAAAAAAATAAAATAAATTAGGTGTACAGTTATGTTACGTGTGACGTACCTTGGACGGATTATATCTAATACCGGATATACGGCACGAGTTACTTCCCATCCCGGAAATATTGCCATAGTGATAAAATTATCATCTAAATATGTAAATTTTAAGGTTTTTCTTTGAAAATTTATCATTAAATAATATTTTGAATTATGAGTCTCACAACAAGGTATGCATATTTATTTCTTTTATTGTCATCAAGATTTTTTTCGTTGATAACTGTAAATTCATGCATATTTTTGTAACCAAAACACATTTTCATATTTCACTAAATGATTATGTTGTTATTATTTCAGTTTTTAATAAGTAAACATTGTTCATCTTTGACTCATGAAACAATTTTTAGTTTAAATGTTGTAACTATATAGATAAGCGTTAAAGTTTAGTCACTGGTTCTTGCACATGTTTCCCTGTTGTTTTGTAAAGTGTCATTATTTTTAAAGCAAATTAGCATTTATAAGCACTCAAATAAAGACTGAGTATTTTGAATCATCTGTTTTGTAACAGATTGAGAAAAATGTGAAGGGTCCGTCTTACTGTCATTCAAACCCGGGACCCTCAGAATACTCTTATGAAGTCCTAACGGCCAAGCTACCCATCTGCATACACAATTTTTCTACCCAATCATTTAGCTGCTAGTTAGGTGTTATATTAGTCCAACTTAATAAACTGAGCGACAAGATGTGCTATTTTTGTGTCTGGCCATTATCTGCCTCTACAACGTAAAAGCAAGCTTCTGACCCAGAACAAAAATATCTCAGAATCTATTTTTGGCACATCAATATATTTTGACTACATGTAGGAGTTATATATCCCTGTTTCTCATGATATCAGGGCTTATCATATAATCTGGGTATGCTAAATTAAAGCAAAGAATTTTGCCACTTACCCTCAAAACCCAAAAATGAATCTATTGTACGTCTGCATCCCTGGGTAGGGTTGGTCATTACTTGAAAACTAATAGATACTTAGCTTAGTTGATTTACAAGTATACCAGTCGATAATTTGATTGAAAATAATAGAAACAGATAATTAAACTAAACTTTATTTAATAAGATGTTTTATCAGATAAATCGAGCCATATTCAAACACATCATTCATGATGACTGTTTTTGCCATCTTAAAACTTAAGTTTTAACAGTATGGAAATAACTATGATCTGACAGATAATGGTTTAACAGCACTAATTTTCACAGGGCCCATTTTTTTCCATCAAGATTCAAACATGATTTTCTTTAATCATGCAAAGTTTAAAGTTAAGTTTGAATGTTATAAATAAGACCCTCCAACATATTTGGAAAATGAATCAGCAACAGTATCAGACATATATGATATTTTAAGGGTTGGTCGTTAAAAATTCCACTTCTTGAAATGTCTATGTCTTTAAATACACATTCCAGTGCCCAGCCATTTCATTTCTAGCTACAAAATCCTATCATTGCAGTAAAGTACTGACTTAGATCAGGTACATGTATATCATCTTGTATTACTATTAGTATATCTCTAAAGTTAAACATATTTCAGTTTTGTTATTCACTACTACTATAAAACAAATAGAATCTTATTCCTTCTTTAGTTCAGCAACTTCTGGAGATATTGTTCCACCTCCACCGGCAGATATTCCACCACCACAAGCTTCAACAGAGGCAATTAACTTTTTAGAAAGTATTGGTAAGTATTAGTAATTCTTATTTTCAAAAAAATCATACTGGTTTTCAAAGCACGTCTGTGACCATTTGAATGCTAGTCTCAAAAATTATGTTTTTTGTTATGTATATGTAATATTGTAATAATACCGAGTACTGTCATTCACTAATGTAAATAAATAAATAAGAAGATGAACAGTCATAACTGATGTGACCTTAACAAGTTAAATCTAAGAACTGGTCTTTGGTTGGAATCACATGTCTTAATATTATAAGAGCTGCCCAATCAAGCATTCATTGGAATAATACTAACATGTACTGGTCAAGGTAAAAATTGTCAAGGTAAAACTGATGTCTCTACAACTAAAGAACCAGATCAGTCTGTCCAAACTGTATTAAACATAATCCTGCTATTTATCATAAATAGACTTGTCCATCTTTTACTCTGGACCAAACCATTTGTTACAAAGGGAAATTTCAAATACATGTATATACAGTATTGACTAAAAAGGTAACAGTGCAGACCATGCATAGAAAGCACAGATGTGCTGGCTGATCTTGGACAGCACTTTTTGTAGTAGTTTAGTTTATATGATTAATGTTAGTCCTATAAATATGACGTCGTTTTGAGATATGTTTGCTTCTGGACTTGACCGACATAAACTATAACAAGCCTGTAACGTCTGATATATTGGACTAAGTTAATTTTAGCTGTTGAAATTTAACATATATTTTTGTTGTTAGTAAATTCTGCCTACTTTGAACTGAATACCTTCGTAGCAGGTTTTTAAGTGCTTTACTGATGACATTGAAGGTCACCCACATTTACTAGACATCCCAAATTCAAAGTAAAAATTTAATACCCAATACCTTTTATTTAATTTTGTAAAAAAATTATTTTTGTTATCGCAACAGAAAAGTTACTGGTCATACCAAAGCAACAGCAAAGTTCAGTGTTTGCTAAGACATTATATACTTTATGATTAATTAAATGCTTACACTAAATAATTCAGTTTGTTTAAAACAAAAAGAAAGGCATGTTTTAAGGAACTGAACCTTCCAAATGGCATATGCATGTATAATCTTGGCCTGATAATTTTACATTGAGCAAATGACAGAACAATGATAATTTTACATTGAGCAAATGGCACAAAAATGCAGATGGAAGGCAAGAATATTGCTTAAAGTTCTGAACACATACAAATATAAGTTTGTTTAATAGTTTTGAAGAATATTGTTAAGCTCAAAGACATAGACTGAGCATTATATTTTCTTTTCTTTTTATCTTCAGTGCCAGAAACAGATTTCAAGTACTTAACATTCGAGGACCATTTAGTTACTACATCTGACACTGGAAAAGAACTAGGAGAGTTTGCAGTGACAATCGAGCCAACAAAACACAAGGGACAAGAATGTTTTCTCGTACATGCTAACAGTCATGGAGCTATAGATGGAGTACCATGTGGGACATCTATCACAGCTTATGTAGGAAATAATCTCGAGACATTAGAACAACAACACCATGAATACGTAAAGGTGAGAAATCACAGGATATCGGCATGGGACCAAGCCCTACCCAAGGATACCCCCCCTCCCCCCCACCCCCAATTCTATCAAAAAATATATTATTGATACTATAAACTATTTACATAGTTTATAGTGTCAGTAATATATTTTTTGAAAGAATTGTTTGACTTTGTATTGACATGTATATTGAATGGGTTGAAGTATATTTGGGTTGTATAGCAGGTCCTGGGCGGGAGGGTACCCTTGGGGTAGGGCTTGGTCCCACGCCAATAACCTGTTTGAGAGATTGGAATATGAATGTTTAGTTTAGATTATACAGAATTTATTCTAAAAATAGTTACATTTTGACCAAGTCATGTGATATTTAGTCTCCATATTTTGTGTATCTTAGGGCTGATTTTTTACATTGAAATTGTATTATCCTGAAGAAAGTCATTGTTTTTACCGAAATCGGCCGATAAATAAAGTGTTTTAAACATACTCCAGTGTTATGAATTGTTGTTCTACTTTCTTTTCATATTTACCTAGAATTTATTTTAGTTCGAATAGTGTAGGAACTATAAGCTTATAGACACACTCAAATGTGTTCCTGGAACCAACCAGTACTGAGCATTGAGTGTAAAGTTTCTTGCTTAAGGAAACAACGGCTTATCCCTCAGGGAGTTTGAACCCACATTGAGCACTAGTGATGTTTTGATTACTAGTCTTACATGTTAAACACTCAGAATGTTTTTAAAGGCTAAAAACACTTAGTTATGTTTAATAGAACTTTAGATAAAAAAGTTACAAATAAAATGTTTTTATTTTCTTTCAGCTTGAAAATTGTCCGCTTGATAGAAAAACATTCATAGTTAAACAGGATGGTGATTTTGTCATTAACAGAGTTATAACACAAGGGGAGGTAAGAAAACTTTGCAAAGTAGATAATTCACTTCTTAGGCTAATAACTTCCTTCTAATGTATATACTAACCAGTATACATGATCATCTCTCGTATAAACTTAAAGGAACTCCACTGAGAAAAACAACTGCAGCACTTGGAACAGAAAGATATGCAAAATATAATTAATTATCACATAAACCATGTCTCAGGAGTGTAATAAAGCCATTTAATAAAAATGATTTTACACTATAGTCTGTCCCATTAAAAATGGAAATTAACTTTTGCCTGGTATGAATTAATAAAAACACGTTGAATAAAAATTAAAACTTTTTTGTAAACTAAAAAAAAGTCACCTTCGAGATTTTTCAGGATTTTTCTCTAAAGTGTCTAATTTTCTTGTAAAAGCAAAGTTTCATTTCTCTACGGCAAATCTCTGTTGTTTATTTTCCGTAGCCATTGCCGAAGTACTCTTCATTTGAAGATGAACGGGAGAAAGCACGTGTCATGTTTCTAAAATGTACATGATGTTCTCGGGGTCGTTTCATGATTATTTTACAAAGCTGTATCTACAAGATGTAACAGTTTCGTTGCAATGCATGATAGAAAACTTTAAAAAATGAATAACAAGCAACAACTTGAACAAGATCATCGAGTCTGTGGAGTAGATCTAGAAATAGCACTTACTTTTAAGCTGAATAGAATCCCTATGAGTTTCGAAATAGATCTTTATAAACGTCACGACAAATTCGCATTCTGAAGATCACTTCATTGCCAGTTTATATCCAGTTCCGTATACTTTGAAACTCCTGAATGGCATGACATTTACACTTATGATGATCCAGATTTTTTCATAATCCGTCTCATTATTAAAACATTGTTCCATTTGTGCAGTTATCTGGGTTAGCAAATGAAATATGTAAATGAAACACATCATAATCCAGTATGTTCCAAATCCATAATTCAAGAACGGTCCATAAATTTAGTTCGACAGCACAATGTTTATAACTATTAAAAGAAAAAACATTATTACGTCACCAATAATTTACGAAATATATGACGTAACAAAAATGCCTCGCGCTTTTTATGGATGATTCCAGTTGCGGCATTGGCAGAGGGCGGTTAGGCATATGCATCCTCATAAAGATAATTTTAAGCGAGATAAATTTGTCTTGATGGCATTTAAAATAATTTTTGTATACAGTACCCAGATTTTGCAGTAATTGTTAAAAGTACACCTTCAATTCATATATTAACAATAAAACTTTTGATAACATTTAAATAATTTTAAACACACTTAATGGCATGAATCTATATGACAGAATACCTCTTCCATTAATTCACATATAACCTTCGTTTTGACTTTATGTTTTTAAACTATTTTATATATTTCTCAGAAATAATTTCCCTACAAATTATCTCGTTATTCAAGAGTTCTGTAAATCCTACTCTTTTAGCTACAAAATATACCCTATGCGGTGTTATTTTCTCTCGCGAAAAAATATAGCTATTGTTTTTTCACTGAATATTTTCAAATTTTAGGAAGGCTATAATTATTTAGGACACATCACTCTGTGTTTCTCTTTGACTCGATATCCCCTTCATATTAACATAGTATGTAACACTTTGAGTCTACAAAAAAAACTTATTGTCCCTGATTAAACGCTCCAATTCAATCTTATTCTTAATAATATCAAACACTGCCGGTATTTCTGGACATTTTGTTAAATTATGAGACGGAAAATTAATCTGTATTTACAAGCTTAAAGTGTATAGGCCAACGTTTGGTTGCTCAAACTAGAAAGTATTTTTATATTCTTATAATTTACATTTTTCCTCGCACGCGAGTCTGTGTTCTCTCATTAGCAAATGAGCTAGTTAAAGTAGACACCGTGCAAAACAATACTAAACATATATCAGTTCCCCTTTCTATATATTTCTTGTCAGATTTGCATGCTAATGTTATATTTGTTGGCGATTTATATACGTCAGGTTTCTGAACCTACGAAAAGTTTTAACGCACGAACATCGCACCTGAAATAAGAAGAGTAATATATTTTTGTATCCCATCGGACCTGGTTAATTTAATTATTTTTAAATAGACGTGATACATACTAATGGACAGTATTCAGACAACTACAGAATTATGTTAATTAAACATTAGCGAAGAACCATTTTTTCAGTCTTCTAGCTAGTGTTCCCGTTCCCTTACGACGCGTTGCGGTATTCAACATACGCGCTTGATTGAAAAGCTATCTAATCAAATCACTTCATAATATTGCTCTTTTTCTCTTAAAAAGAATATAAAATATGGTAATTATATAATTATATAAATCTTTGTGTGTTATAATTTATAAAGCGGTTACCGATATTTTCGCTTCAAATGATTTTTATTATTTTAAATAATGGTTTGCTAGTAAAATTGCCTTTTTAACACCAACTTTGTTCTCATTTTTCATTTTAATGATAACATTTAGCTATTGATCTGTTAATCAATTTTTATAACTACCGAGTACATTTCACCATAATTGTGAGACGAACCCTAAATGACGTCTATATTGACGCCGCCATTTTGAAATGGACGTCACGTCAGGTTACAACGTAAGTCAACGGGAAAAAATATAATTTTAACATTATGACCATATAACTGACTTTATGGAAAAAATGAAAAACATGCCTAGAGATATTGATGTCAGGATTAACATGACATTAATTTAAATGATTTTACTATTATATCTAATAAAAAATGGAATATTCAAATTTGGTGGGACAGACTATAGTGTATTAACACTTTGATGTGACGTCATTTGCGTTATACAAACAAAGAGTTAAAGCGAGCTAATGTTAGCATTACACTTTAGGCTCGTCAATGAAAAATGACTCTTTATTACAGTTTAGCGTTCTTATTTATTTTATGTAATAAACAGAATATTATATTCATGTAGATTTAACACTAAATCTATTGGACTCATTGAATTAAACAATATTATGCTCGCCAGAGGCTCACATACTATGATTTTATTCAACTCATTCAATAATTTAGTATTAAATCTACACTCTATACTAAATTTATTGAAGAAGATGAATAAAATGATATTATGAGAGGCTCTGGTGGGAGCAAGAGTTAAAATTATACGCCTTAGTATCATATAATATTTTAAGATAATTTATTGCTGTTCCCTTCCAGGATATTCAAAGATCATCTAAAACAGTAAACCATGATGCCATGAAAGGGTTCATCTCAGAGGGTAAGATTTAATGCTTTTTTAACGTTATTTTTTTCTCTTAGAGTGTCAAAAAGTGGGGTGTTAAGGGGAATATGGTTATGTGGCCGTGTGAGGCACAGGAAGTGTGGTGTTGAGGGAAATATTGTTATGTGGTTGTCTGAGGTACAGGAAGTGAGGTGTTGAGAGGAATATGGTTATGTAGTTGTCTGAGGTACAATGTACAGGAAGTGGGGTGTTGAGGGGAATGTGGTTATGTGGTTGTCTGAGGTACAGGAAGTTGGATGTTCAGGGGAATATGGTTATGTGGTTGTCTGGTGTACAGGAAGTGGGATGTTAAGGGGAATATGGTTATGTGGTTGTCTGAAGTACAGGAATTGGGGGTGTTGATGGGTATAGGATTATGTAATTTTCTGAGGCACAGGAAGTGGGAAGTAAAGAGGTTGTCTGATTTTTGGGAAGTGAGATGTTTAGGGGGATATTGCTGTGTGGCTGTCTGGGGTTAGGAAGCAGGGTGTTTGTGAATTCAGTACTACTGAGTTAATCATTAAAGTGCTTTGATTGAATTGTGTTTGTTTACAAAAGAATGATCCCAGATCATAAAAAATGACAAGATGACACCTTCAGTAATAAATTTTCATTTTTTCAAAGATATTCAGTCACCAACGATAAAAAAAATATTCAATACATGTAAAACATCTGCTGAAGTGAATCATTTATTTTTTACTTTTTTCTTCTTCAGGTTCCAATCTCCTTCTTCATAGAATGTTCATAGAGAAAGGAATACCTGAAAATTTACAGCTGATATCGTTCGACTCGGATACAAACTTATGTCCTGCCATTTATGTAAGTTCAGATTCACGCAAAACTTTCATCATTGTAGTTCTTGATACTTATAAATCAGCAAACAGTTTTATTCAGTGGTCTTATGATGAAATAGTTACCCATCCATTGCTCTCTGATGGCTCCAGTGGCCACATGGTTACGGTCTCTTAAAACAAATTGCTTTGGCCCCTCACTTCTTTGGGTTCAAAACCAAACTCTTAATTTCTTTCATGCAAGGAAAGTAATTGTTGTGTTATGCTTAACTATTTAAAGATTCAGGAGAGCTATTCACATAGATACCAGCCTTTAAGGTGTCACTGTTACTGTCATACTTTGGTTAAGTTTTTGCATGCACATTGGTTTCCAGTGTCTATTCTAGGATTCGAAAAACAAGGGTTTTTTTATTGAAAAGCGAGAATTCATTACATTTGTTGATCTTTTCCTTCTTTCGCTTCGTACAATTTTCCCCTTGCCTCTGAAAAAATAGGGGCTAATTCTCAATTATATGAGTGAGTCCACCCCATCCCCCCCTCCTGGTTTTCACCAAACTTATTGAAGGGAATGTGTTGAAACTTTACACACTTGTTTTCTGTGATTATCTAACATGATTGTCAAAGTGTTATTGAACTTGTGTAATACTGTTATTATTAAATGGCTTTATTACACTTCTGCCCCATAGTTCATGTAATAATCATTATTTCTTAACCTTTAAGCGTTGATGGCCTGCAAACAATGAAGGATAGTCTCTTGACCTTTACCCTGCTGAAGGCAAAAGTGATTAGTCTTTGCCACCAGCATAGAGCCACAGGCCAGCCTGCACAATCATGCAGTCTGACCAGGCTCTATACTGTTGGCTGGCTAACTTCAAATTTTCCCCTTGATATCCCCTAAAATTTATAATGGACTGCTCCAAGATGGAAATTGGAAAAATCCATTTGAGAAATTCAGCAGGTTAAGGGTTAAGACAATTTACAATCATACTTCCTCTGTATAGTATAAAACAACATAATATGTACCATCATTTGATGGTGTTATTTTTACAGAGACGACTTGAGGAAAGAACACAGACAGTAGACAAAACAGAGCTGAAGGTGTTTGGTATTGAGAGAACCATTAATTCAGCTGTAGATCTACCTACCACATGGCAATCCTATTTTATGAAAGATGGGTAAGTGCTCCTGTAAAAAAATTGTGATGCTTTATGCCTAGGTAACAAATTAAACAGCCTCCGCCCAATTTAAAGATTTTTTACAACATCGGCAACAACTGATGTATAATGGGGCGCCAAAAAACAATCGTTCGATCCGAAAACCATTGTTCGGGCGCTGCATGCAAGCAGGCGGTCCCCGCAAGATGACTTTTTCAAATCACTGACCCCAAAAATTATCGTCCGGACAATGTTAGCTTTTAAGTTGTTCTTAAAACTCAACAGCTCCTTCCAGATGAGCAAAATTTCAGCTGCTGCTGTCTGATCGTCACGGTGGCCGGATGGACACCTGCCGATATTACGATTTTTTTGAGAAATAGATGCCGCAGGGTGGTCATTTGTGACTGAAGCATTAGTAATAAAGTGAGTATCCTATATAAAGGCAGGTTTATGAAAGGATTGTTAAATGAAGCCAGGCCAAACTAGCCTGTTTACAAGCATCTATAGCAGGTCCATATAAGCTGAATTGGTAGAGGGTTGGACTGTGAATTGGATGACCCGGGGTGATTCTTTAGCTGTTCAGGTCACTTTGGTGTTGATTGATCATGAAATCCTTCCTAAAGTCATTCGCACTGTACCTTTGCTGTGGCATGTACAGCAGTAATAGCAGTTTCTTGCTAAAGTGAAGGCAACTTTAAGTATTGGTTAACTGCTTGACAGTCTGCCCAGGAATTTTGCGGTGGCTGAACTGTGCTCTGATTAATTGATGAACTGTGCTCTGATTAATTGATGAACTGTGCTCTGATTAATTGATGAACTGTGCTCTGATTAATTGATGAACTTTGCTCTGATTGATTAAAGTTCCTTACTGCTGTGATCCAGAAGGTTAACTTCAAAAACCATCACTACAGGCAACTAGCTAGGATAAAGACAGATTTATACTTCCTGGGCCTAAAGTTATAAAGTCTTAACTTAGATATGCAGTGCATGTTAAATATAATGTTTAATTACAAAAACATGTTTTTATTTCAGACACTTGACAAACAGAGTACAAGTTGGTTCCCCGGTCACAATGAAACTTGCTTTTGTTCCTCCTTACATAATCAGAGGTAATAGGTCTTATAAATACTTGTTAGATTGTTTCCTTTGCTTAAAGGGAATCCACTGAGGTTTAAAAGCCTTAAAATGTAGAATTTAAAGTTCTTACATAGATCAACAGGTACACTTAAATTGGAGAGATATGGGAAAAATACTAAGTACATGTATTTCCAAGGGTTTAGCTTAATACAGTCTAAATTGAAATTCAGAAACACAGTTTGTAATTCTAAGTGAGACTGGATCCAGTACAAACTATTTCTGTGTAAGACTGGACACAATACATAATGTTTCCACATATATAAATTTCTCAAGTAAGTATTCCAATTTCCTCATTTAATGTTTTTTGTAGACGAAGAGCCACCAAAACCCACGTTTGAGAAGCAGCCATTAAGATGGGAGGATGATGCCCAACTTTACTCTCAGTTTCTCGATAGAAAGGTACTTTCTTGTGCATTCATTGTAACTTCCATTCTCTATAACTATTCAAACTGTTTAGGAATATTGTGTTGAAACAAAGTCTATATTTGTCTTGTTTTAATCAATTTTTTAACAATACTTCTGTTCAACAAGTTGTATCATTTCCACTCAACTTAAGCATGAACATATAGGGAGAGTATTAGATTTGTATTCCAGGGGTGGTTTGTAAAGGGGATATTTCTCTGTCAGAATTCATCTTGTTTATTGAGTCTAATGGTCATATGTCTGTCACTGCTGATTCAGAAAATATGGGGTGTAAGTAGTTGGTCTCTTGCAGGGAAATATTACTGGTTTGGTATCCAGGAATGTTGGTTAAACGGATTGACTGCATGACTAAAAAATGTGCTAAAATCGGGGTAAAAAAAAGACATACAAAGTTGTATCATTTTGTCAAATCTACATTCTGTTCTGTAAGAGATGATATTTTGCTAAATGATATAGTGGCTGATTTGTTTCATGTCGTATTTTCTCTCCATGAGGATCAACGCAAACTCACAAAAACAGGACAAAATGATTACTTTGTCATTCTTTCGCTCTGTAAGTCGTAAACAGGATGATACGACAAAGTCACCAATTTGTCTTATTTTGTGTTTTTGCCTGGTGCCCTTCCTGGGGCCAATTTACGCCAAACCGTTGACTTGTGTTTTCACCTGGCGCCCTGTGGAGTGAAAATATAACATGGCGCAAATCAGCCACCATAAAATGATCTTACAATTGCCATTGTTACCTGAAACTAACATCTATATTAATCTTCTATATTTGATTGATGTATATTTAATTGTTCAATATCCCTGAAAAATTCAAATTGTAAAATTCAGTTTGTAAAATTGTAAAATGTAATAATATTAAAAATATTCAGGAGGAGCTAAAAGCTGACCATGCGAAATACATGCGACATCATCCAGAACTGAAAGCTCTACTGGCCGACTTTATGCAATTTTTGTTGCTACGGAAACCCGATGACGTCATCTCCTTTGCTGCTGAATATTTTGCTGCATTCTCCACGACGATGCCCTCTCCGTCACCGTACCTAGCCTCCACCAGCGTAACACCTTTCCCAAACAGCAGAACTAACACCAAAATAGAACAGCTACGAGCCCCTACACGATAGAATGTTGATAATGAAAAAAACTTTGATAATAATTTTACAAATCTTACTTGTGCTAACAAAATGTGTTATTTTGAGAAAAGGGATTGAAAAACAAAAATAAAAATAGAAAAAATTATTCATTATTTTTTTGAATTCTAGTTATGGAAAAATTAAGATGAAAATAAAAATAAAGATCTGAAATTATATTCATATTTATATAGTATCGAACTGTTTTTCGTCTAGCAATAACTATATGCAAAATTTGAAGAAAAAAACTACAAAGAAAAAAAAAAAAAAAACAACAAAACAAGCCAGTCAGTCCACTTGACTTTTATAATTTTTCTTCTTTTTAGATTTTTTTCTTTATGGATTACAGAGTCTGACAATGCCACAGTATTTTTTTTATTACAGGTATTTGATTTTTTTTGAGATTATTAAAATGTAAAAAAATTGACTTCTTATAAATGTCATCACATCACTTTATTGCCATTTTAAGAATTCCAAGCAATTTTATTTTAAAAAAATAATCATAAAGCACTTAAAGATTAATTGATATACATGTATGACAAGCTTATTATGCAGAGCTTTCATCAATATAACTATATTAATGTATCATCAATATTTTTTGTGGATCAATAATTGATACAGATTTGAAAAAAATCAATAATTTTGACTAATCAATTAAATGTAAAGAAAATATGAAAATTTACCCAAAACAAATATATAGATGTAAGAGCCATGTCTAAAACTTTGGTGTCATTATGTAATGGACATAAATTAATGAGCCGCGCCATGACAAAACCAACATAATACGTTTGCGACCAGCATGGATCATGATCAGACTGCGCGGATGTGCAGGCTGGTCTGGATCCATGCTGGTCGCAAACTCATTATGTTGGTTTTGTCATGGCGTGGCTCATATGGTCGTGGGAAAAAATTTCATGCTATGGGCATTTTATTAATATATACAAGACCAATTGTAATTGTATGAGCAGAACATATACAATGTATTTTACTGAATTCATTTAAACAGGTATGAAAGTGAATAACAGACAAGTCTTTATAAGTAATTATCGATATATTGGTGTTTGATATATTGGTGTATCGTGGATATTTGTCATCAGATATTGATATACCGTTGATATGCTTTGCACTGAATTAATGACAGCTCTTGTATTATTTTACTGTTATTTGAAGTGATTTGTAAACATCTAGCTGTTTAAAGTTATTTAAGTGTTTGTAGAAGCATAGGAAATATGATGTTGTTTTTCTGACACTGTGCATCATTGCAACAAATAATGTTAATTTTGTTATATTTGCGGTATTTATATATGATTTATAAACAGATTGGGTTATAGGTTTATCGTTAGACACCAGTCAGATCTTGTACCAGTCAAACAGAATCTGTGTTATTTGTTGAAACAATTTGTTTTGTATATTTTGTCTTGTGTAATGTTTTGTTGAATTGTGAAGTCAACTTATGATACAAAATAATCCTATCTCATAGTTTTGAGACTTTCTTATTGAAAATGTGTCAAGAGTTAAATTGTATACCCATACATGCATGGTGCATTGACTGGAGGGCAAGTATTAGTTACCCGCACCCTAGTTACCACGCTGTCTGTCAGAGATAAAAATAGAGCATGCTCAGTGATTGGCTTATTTTTTTAAGATTTACTTGTGATAACAGTGAAATTGATAAGTTAGAAAAGTTACATACAGATGCCTGTTACATTGATATACCTTTTTCTTGGGTTTCATATTTTGAGAACAGGAAAGGTGTTATTGTTGCCTATAATACAAAAGAGAAAGAACATGAAAACACTATTGTAAATGTCAGTTTGGAGTGACAAACATAAGCTATCTGTTGATTTTACAAATATTTCAAGCTGTATATTTAATATGTGCAAACCAATTCAACTGTGTTCTCAAAACACATTATGCTACACTGAGGTCAAAAAGCATATAAAACATAAAACTCTTACATACATGTACATGTAGATCTAGTGGAGCACTTCAAAATGGAAAAGTTTGCAAAGGATAATTAAAAAATTACCCAGGACTGAAGTGAATATGGAATTTTCGTGAGATTTATAGCCCAGGCTGAGCAAAAAGTGTTGCAATGCCTTTTTTGTTTGGGGAGGTGGGGATCATTTTGCACAATAAAAAATATTTTTCAGGAAATCAGAAAAAAGTTAGTGAGGGAATGATTTGAAAATTTGCACATCAGTTATTGGTTTAGACTTACATCAAATGGTACACAAATCTCAAAAGAATATTTCCAAGCCTGTCATGTTAGAAAACCTCAGTGGAGTCCCTTTAAAATCGTTTAGTTTCCAGGTTTCTGGTTTGAATTAAAATCAGTGTGCCAGTCTTGAATTCAAATATTTGATTGGTTGTTGACAATTTGGTATTGACCAATGGCAAAGGGTCTTTTGTACTGGTCTCTGTATGATAAAATTCATTAGTTTACACCTACCAAGTATTGTTGTTAAATGTCTGTGTTAATATAGGTGGTGCATACTGAACTGTCTCACTTTAAATATAGTCGGGGGCAAACTTTTTTGTCTTGCAATTTGTAAGAAAATGAAATAAGTTAGTGAATTTTCACTATTTATTTTCTCTTCCTACAAATGGTTTTTTATTTTGATTGGGTCATTTTTTCACCTTTTTTTAAAGTATATATAAATTTTTTGTCCCGGATAAAAAAACTAAGAGTTAGAACATGAAATTTTTGTTGAAATTGTTGTAATATGAGTAATAATTCTGAGATAATATGAGCATTGTGACGTATGTTTTGCATCACCTATAAATTATATGTGAAAAAAAAATCAAATGTGATACATAAATATATGTATAAAAATTGTTCTTCTTTTATTAAAAAGGTTGTAATGCTTATATGTGACAAGTATTTTATGTATTATATTTATATAATGTTTAAAAATAAACCTCATAAGTAAATATATAAGTTATTTTTGTTATTAATTAGCTTACCAGAGCACAACGTGCTGAAGGTGGGATTTTGCCATGACCTTGTGTCCGTCATGTCTTCATTTAAAGATGACCAAATATTTTTCTTCAAATAACATCTCCACGTACCCAGACAGAACAATATTGCTGAAACTTTCTATATATAAAGCACTCAGTTTTTTTTAGCTCATCTGCCACAAAGTGACAGGGTGAGCTTTTGTGATCGCTTTTCGTTCGGCGTCTGTCCGTTCGTCCTTCGTCCTGAAACTTTTACTTTAAAGGACATCTCATAAACCGCTGAGCAAATTTCATCCAAACTTCACAGGAATGTTCCTTTGGTGGTCACCTTTAAAAATTGTTCAAAGAATTTAATTCCATGCAGAACTCTGGTTGCCATGGCAACCGAAAGAAAAAATTTTAATATTTTCTTTTAAAAAACCATAAGAGCTAGAGCTAAGATATTTGGCTTGAAACATCTTCTAGTGAGTGTCTACCAAGTTTGTTCAAATAAAAGCCCTGGGGTCAAAATTGGCCCCGCCCCGGGGGGTCATTGATTTTCCCTATATACATATAGTAAAAACCTAAAAAATCTTATTTTAAAGAACCTAAAGAGCTACAGCTAAGATATTTAGCATGAAACATCTTCTAATAGGTCTCTACCAAGTTTGTTCAAATAAAAGCCCTGGGGTCAAAATTGGCCCCGCCCCAGGGGGGTCATTGATTTTCCCTATATGCATATAGTAAAAACTTAAAAAGTCTTCTTTTAAAGAACCAAAAGAGTTAAAGCTAAGATATTTAGCATGAAACATGTTCTAATAAGTGTCTACCAAGTTTGTTCAAATAAAAGCCCTGGGGTCAAAATTGGCCCCGCCCCGGGGGGGTCATTGATTTTCCCTATATGCATATAATAAAAACTTAAAAAATCTTCTTTTAAAGAACCAAAAGAGCTAGAGCTAAGATTTTTAGCATGAAACATGTTCTAATAGGTGTCTACCAAGTTTGTTCAAATAAAAGCCCTGTGGTCAAAATTGGTCCCGCCCCGGGGGTCATTGATTTTCCCTATATGCATATAGTAAAAACTTAAGAAATCTTTTTTTAAAGAACCAAAAGAGCTAGAGCTAAGATATTTAGCATGAAACATGTTCTAATGGGTGTCTACCAAGTTTGTTCAAATAAAAGCCCTGGGGTCAAAATTGGCCCCGCCCCGGGGGGTCATTGATTTTCCCTATATGCATAATTTTAATAAAAACTTAAGAAATCTTCTTTTAAAGAACTCAAAGAGCTATGGCTAAGATATTGAGCATCAAACATGTTCTAATAGGTGTCTACCAAGTTTGTTCAAATAAAAGCCCTGGGGTCAAAATTGGCCCCGCCCCGGGGGGTCATTGATTTTCCCTATATGCATATAGTAAAAACTTAAGAAATCTTCTTTTAAAGAACCAAAAGAGTTAAAGCTAAGATATTAAGCATGAAACATGTTCTAATAAGTGTCTACCAAGTTTGTTCAAATAAAAGCCCTGGGGTCAAAATTGGCCCCGCCCCGGGGGATCATTGATTTTTCCTAAATGCATATAGTAAAAACTTAAAAAATCTTCTTTGAAAAAACCCAAATAGCTAGAGTTAAGATATTTAGCATGAAACATCTTTTAGTGAGTGTCTACAAAGTTTGTTCAAATAAAAGACCTGGGGTCAAAATTGGCTCCGCCCCGGGGTCATTGATTTTCTTTATATGCACATGTGTATAGCAAAAACTTAAAAATCTTCTTTGAAAAAACCCAAATAGCTAGAGTTTAGATATTAAGCATGAAACATCTTCTAGTAAGTGTCTACAAATTTTGTTCAAATAAAAGCCCTGGGGTCAAAACTGGCCTGGGCCCAGGGGTGTCATTGTTTTTAACTATATGTGTATAGTAAAAACTTAAAAAAAATCTTCTTTCAATAAAGCCCAATGAGCTAGAGCTTAGATGTTTAGCATGAAACATCTTCTTATGGGTGTCTGCCGAGTTTGTGCAAATAAAAGCACTTGGGTTAAATTGGCCCTGCAACGTTGGAGGGGGGGGGGGGTTTGGGGGCCTATATACAGATGAGCGACCTCAGGGCCATCATGGCCCTCTTGTTTAATCTACATTTAAATAAATGATTAAATAAACGCTATTGATCAGAGTTTATGTGAAATAGACTGACATGACGAAAATGTAAAATTGGGCGAAACATACACTATGTAATTGGTGCGTGAAATAAAATGAATAAAAGTACATTCCTATTAAAAATGTCTGAATAATTGTTCACACTACCTGCAGCTTAATATGTGTTCGTACATATTCTATAATTCATATATATGAGATTTTATTATGTCCCCTCATGCGTTGATCTGACGTTTGTTTCATACATGTAAGATAAACTTTTTGTCAGACATGAGTACTTTTCTCTATCTATACTCTCCTTATTTAAAACGAAACACCTAGTTTAAAGGCACATTATCTTCAGAAATAAAAAAAAAAGTCCTAATTAAATGGCAAAAATGAGTTTTTATATGTTTTTATTCATGTAACTGTAAAAGAGCATGTAAAATGCTTACTACCTAATTAAAGGAATTAGCACTGAAAAGATTATTTGTCACGAAAGAAGCAAAATGTAAAAAAAGTATTATTCTGACTTCAATACAAAATACTAAATCACTATAACTGTACTTATTGCCAAAAAAAAAAAAAAAAAAAAAAAAAAAAAAAAAAAAAAAAAAAACAAAAAACAATAGATAGATCAGGTACATTTAATTGGCCAGATACATTTTAGAAACTATAATAGGATACATATTTAATGTGGAGTTTTGAGAAATAAAAACTAATGCATTTCTGGTACATAGTGGGCCTTTAAGACGTGTTGTCTTTGCCCAATGAAAAGACTTTCTGACAATATATGTTACATTAATTGCCTTAAAAAGTAATAAATGAATAAATAAAATAGAAAAATAGATAAATAAATAAAATAGCAAGATAAATGAATAAAATAAATAAATAAATAAAATAAATAAATAAATAATATAGTAAATAAATAAATAAAAAATAAAATAAAATGAATAAATGAATAAATAAATGATATAATAAATGAATGATAAATAAATAAATTAATTAATAATAAATTAAATGAAATAAAATGAATAGATAAATAAATAAATAAAATAGATAAATAAATAAGTAAATAAATAAATAAATCATTTTATTGCCATTTTAACAATTCCAAGCCCTTTAATTGACATGTATTGTATGTTTTGTACATGTACTTTATTGAACGATTCAATTACACGTATACGTAAGTGTTTGTTAGCCAGTATTAAAGCTGCACGCCTCCAGATGTACCATAGTATCAAACTTGAGAAAAAGTACTGCGATTTTAAGAAAAGTAAAAAGATTCAATATAGAAGTTATGATGTCCGTGTTATGTTCGATTTATGAACGATTTTTGCAGTATTTTTCACCATATTTCTATTGCGTTACTAACGCAGTGAGGGCTAATTTTGGTTATTTTGACCTCTTTTTTTTTTGGTAATTTACATTGGCTGCAAGTGCTATTTGTAATGTGAAAAATAAATTTATTCACAATATTTTACTTTTCAATACATTTTCAAAATTTTCATGAAAATTAGCATGAGTCTGGATGCATGCTGCGGGGGTCTCGCCCCGGCTCTTTTGCATATATAGTGGCTCACTTATCGAATAACTTTGAATTAACAAAAAAATATATCTTTATTTTATGATATGAATATTAAGTACGCATGGTTGTATGAATTAAATTCGAAATAATTGATATTTGTCTTGTCTCATTTAACTCACAGGGTGACCGGCGAATGACATTTTATATACATATATATTGACATCATATAAAGATATACATGTATATAGTCAAAGTATCCGAAATGACTTGACATGACAAAGTCACTGTATATCACTATTATATAATTAATATTAGTATAATAGTATATTGTACAAGTAAAACATGTATACACATTGATAAATTACTAAATTAAGACTATTGGTAGTTTATTTAAAGGGACTGCACTGAGTGGTTTTTTTTACATGACGGGGCTCAAAATATTTTTTGAAGATTAATGTATCTGTTGATGTAAATCTAGACCAGTATCTTGTATGCAAAATTTCAGATCATTCGTTCACTCCGTTTTTTCAGAATATTTATTCAAATTGTGAAAAGTGGCTAAAAAGTGAAAAGCGTTACAACGCTTTTCACTCGTATCGGTCTAAGAATTACACAAAATTACTAATTTCAATTAATTTCGGAGTTTATTTCTTAATTTTGTTTGCACGTCTTTCTGTTTTAAGTGCCTCAGCCTATTTTAATTTTGTAGGGAATTCAAATTTTATGTTTAAGTTTTTAGGACGTCAGCGGAGTTCTTTTAAATACTATCTCAATGTTCATGTAGATTATGGAAAAAAATACTGAAGAACCCGTTAATAACGGAAGCCTTTACTTTTACAAAAAAAGAAAAAGTATAAAAAAAAAATCGGAACCAAGAATATATGGTAAACCTCTTTTACGACCTATATTATTTATTACAATAAATCGTTTTATAACTAAAAAAAGGGGATGGCAATTTCGCAACCATGAAATAAAAGAACACATTTTTAGCGTAACTATCCGGGGTATTGCTATTCTTTTCTTTTCAGCCAGGCGTCAGTGTTACACTCGAATGTTGAATTTAAGAAAACAAACAATAGTTTAAAATATTGTTAAAACCCGTATATCACCAGTCGCATTCTAGATCATTTCACGGAGTGTAGCGTTTTTATTTATATTGAGTATACGTACTTTGTCAAAAGATCTATTTATATTCGTTCGTTTGCATTTACCGAATCACTAGCTGCAAATATGTCTTTCTGTAAGGATATATTTGGATACATTTTTTACTCTTTCGGGTACTTTTTGTACACAATCTTATGGGGTTTGATGAATTTCTATCAAAATTGGATGTCTCCTCCAAGCACTAGCTATGAAAGAAGTTGTGAGGTTCGGAACATTATGTGGAGACGCAAGTTTTTTATGATTGATGTTGTCTCGCCCCGGGATTTTATCACGTGTCATGAAATGTTCACGGATCCAGGATACGTTCTTCAGCCGAACGTTTCTCTATATTGTTTGACAAAAGACTACGCATATTTCGTGGAAACACCGGCGTCTGTTGATGTTTTCAACTCCGACACCAGTTCATTTTTGTACATAGGACAGTTTACTAACGCTTTGAAAGTCATAAAATTTCCTTTGGCTTCATTTTGTAAACTTGCGGATCGTCTCGGAAACCCAAAGGTGAAGGTTTGTTTCATGCCAAACACAGGACGATGTGGTAGTACATTGCTTGCGAACGCTTTAGGAAAAGTTCCAGGGACCCTTCTATACGCAGAACCAGACTGTTTAACCAACATAGGACACCTTTGGAAACAAAAACACGTGACCCAGTCAGAGTATGAGCGTATGGTAGTTGCAACGATGAGAATTTTGTGTAAACCGCGTCAAGAAACGGATACGATTTGTATAAAAACACGATCTTGTGCAAGTTGTCATCTAAATACTATCAAAATGTTTTTCCCAGAATTCATTATTATATTTGGCTACCGTAATAGTTTAAAGACAGTGTCCTCTTTCCTGGGCTTAATGTTGTCAGAAACTGCGCAAAGTTTGGCCATGTACCTTATCGATAGTGATACTTTCTCCAAATATATTCCATGGTTTCGTCGTCGATTCTTCTACTATTTCTGCTTCATGCTTGAAGAAAACTTTTTCACCGAAATCGCTGATAAGATGAATACGGTAGAGCTTTTTACATACGCCTGGGCTAATTGTATTAAAGTTATACAAGAATTCCTAAGCCAGGGTGGTGTACTTACGCCTATTCTATACGAAGATATGGACGCGAATAAAGTTGCAACACTGGAAAACGTTTTTAAAGAATTGGATATTGACAAGAAACATGTCGCAGTTGCTCTAAAGGCGTTTACTGAAGATTCCCAAGCTGGCAGCCCCCTAAGTAGAGAAAATATAAGCAATTTGAAAAGAAGAAAAATCAGTAGAGAGAATATTGTTAAAGCAAATATGATACTTGCAAAGTTTGATTTACCAAACCTTGGCGAAGAGTTTAGACTAACAAAAGGATAGATATATGCTTCTTAATTGCTGATAATGTAATTCCTTGTTTTGGTCATGACGTCATTTTAGTGGATTTTTTAAACTGGTTTCACAGCAATGGAGTTCTAACGAATTTTCCATTTACAAATATCATATTTTATTTTTCGTTTTTATTTTCTCAAAAAAAATATAATTCCATATAATTTTTAATATATTAGTACGAAATATATACTTATTTAGAGAGAAATAAAATCTGTTTACGGAACCAGGCGAGAGGATCGGGATGGGCCAATTAGTTACGTATTATGCCGACATGGCTCGGAAGAAACAGATTCCATTACAGGGATTTTACCTCAACATTTGCGGATTACTACGTTTGTATAAATTGACTAGATTATTTGATTTTGTTTCAAATTCAGCCCATCTTTCACAGATGTTTCAAATAATGAGAAAATAGCAAACAATTTTCGTAACAAGATTTGGCCTGATACAAAATTCAGGACCACTAAATGTACAGCTACGAGAATATATGTATACATATACTCATCGGCACCGCACATAATTACTTTTAAGCCAGTTAAAATATAAATTTTCTGACACTCATGTGTACATCTTCTACACTAATGTGTACACCTGGCTTCTGACACTAATATGTACATCTTCTACACTGATGTGTACACCTGGCTTCTGACACTAATGCGTACATCTTCTACACTAATGTGTACACCTGGCTTCTGACACTAATATGTACATCTTCTACACTAATGTGTACACCTGGCCTCTGACACTAATGCGTACATCTTCTACACTAATGTGTATGTATATTATATTTATGTATAAAGTTTTTATATTTTCACTTTTTTATACTTTAATATACATTTATTAGTCCCCTACCGGTTTAACTGGAGGGGACTTAAGGTTTACCCTCCGTCCGTCTGTCTGTCCGTCTGTCTGTCAGTCCGTCCACAAAACTGGATCCTGCGATAACGCAAAAAGTACTGAAAATATTTTAATCAAACTTGATACAAGGAAAGATGGCAGTATGGAGATTATACCAGGTTTTTTCTTCTCTTCCTATGTTGAAAATTCTGGTTGCTATGGCAACTAAAATCTGAAAACATAAACTGGATCCAGTGATAACTCAAAAAGTACTGAAAATATTTTTATGAAACTTAAAATATGGGTAGATGGCAGTCTGGAGATTATGCACATCTTTTTCTTTTCTTTTTATGTTGAAAATTCTGGTTGCTATGGCAACAAATAGACTGAATTTCAAGATTTCTGATTTAAATTTTTAAGCTTTTTCACTATAAGTTCTTTATTTCTTAAGGTGTTTATTTCAAACTTCTGGTATATGTGACAAGGTTTACAACTCTAGCACAAAAATTATCAGAATTACCTCCCTTGAACTTTTTATGAAAAAAAAATGTCTTTTTTAAATAACTTCTTTATTTCTTAATGTATCTACTTCAAACTTCATATATATGTTTCTTATTATCACTCAACATTTTTGAGAAGGTTAAATACTCTAGCAAGACTATTTTCAGAATTATGTCCCCCTTGAACTTAGATTTTTTTCGAGAAATTGGTATTTTTTACTCCAACTTCTTCATTCCTTTAACTTTAAAATAACACTCACATCATATATGACAATGTTCATAAATCTAGCATCTTCATTTCAAGAGTTGTCTTCTCTTTAAGAATTTTGCATTAAAATATGTTATATTTTGGTAACAGGGATGTTTGAAAAAATAACTTTAGAGTCTCCTTCAGTCTGTCTGTATGTCTGTCTGTCTGTGTGTGTCTGTCTGTCTGTCTGTTCATAAAAACTGTTTCCTGAGATCACTTTTGAAGATTTTTTCCAACAAATTTACTTAAAAAAGAGAAAAGTTGAAACATTATTTATTCTTATATAAATTCATCCTGAGAAAATTGGACCTTTTGATTATCTGTTGTATAAACATAATTTCCTTACCAGGCAGGGAAACTTAACACATTACTGTGATATAGACAAACTTAGAACTCAAAAGATTTAAGTTCAGTCCTGTCATTTATTCACTGGTAAATTAAAATTGAATGGCCAATTGCCCATCAGAATGTTGCTTGGGTTCTAACCGGTAGGGGACTTATGGATTGCTTGCAATGCTATGATAATCGCTTGTTCTCTGTATAGTTTGTTTATTTATAATAAAATATCAAGACAAACATCGTCGTATTGTTGTTACATCATTTCCATGTAGTACTAAAAGCAACACAATCGTAACTACTCGGCAATCTCCGTCAAGTGAATTCTTGAAGTCGCCCGATGTATTCCGAGTGAAAGCAACATTATGTAGAATCTTAAATTTGTACTTTTCATGGTTAATTTAATATAAAGTTTTAAGAAATGAAACGTTTCAACTTTTGAAATCATGTTTTCACTGAACCAGAAATAAAACAGTGTGATATAATATGACATTTTTGTAGCTACCACACAAAATTTGAATTTGCTAAACATTGTTGGAAATAAATGTTTAACCCAAATGAAGGAAAAAATTCATTACTTGAACCACAGGTGGCAGTATCAGTGTTTGGACATCCCGCCAAACCCTGCCCCTAGACCCCTGCTACAACCCTGAAAATAAATCACTACTGAGGCTTAGGGGCCTACTATATGGGGACAGGGGACATATTCGAATTATGGACAGTGGACATATTCGAATTATGGCCCCGTCAAATTTATTAATAACACAGACATTGTGTTTTGAAGGTACTTTTGTCATTGTAATTCTTTCTTGTTTATGTGTAGAAAATGAGCAGTATTTGTGTGTGTGTGTTTTTTACCCGAAACTAAACATTTTGGTAGCTTTGTATGTATTTATGACTCTCCGAATGGAGATAAAAATGTAAAAGCAAGCTTTGACAGTTGGCGGCAAACAAGTAAGAAACTTTGGATAAATTTTGTGAAAAATCTGAAGGTATGACAAACAGCTGTTCATTGTAACTCACCCCACCCACTATATTATAGTGTTATCATTAGGCACCGTACTGCTACTAAAATTTCGTGCTAAATGCCATTGCACCGCGAACTCTACATAACAGACAGGGCAGGGACTAATGGTAGGTAAAACACGACTGATTAAAAATTGCCCCCGCAATAATTGACACACAATTAAGCAAGCAGGGTTTCAAATGACTGTTGCATAAAGGGACACTTATCTTTTCCTGGATTTGAACGAAAACCTGAATGTTAATTGATTCCGATGTTAAATCGAAAATAATGAATATAATTATGATTGTGTATATTGTACGGTAAGATAACCAATGTTGTACAGTATGGTAATTTATTTCATTTACATGTATATAAAATTCAGTATGTAAAGTCATGACTGTTGTGTTAATACATACCAACAGTGATTAACTCGTAAGTATATGTATACTATGAGGTTATTATTTATTATACTGAGTACAATACTGAATTCAATTGGACGAGTGCACAGCTGTCAAACCTTTATTAGACGAGTATGATATATGATTTGCAACTGTGTGCGAGTCCAATAGATCAGTATTTTTTCAATCATGTTTAATGACCTCTGTGTTTCACACCACTATTTTTTTTAACATTTTGACTGAATTTCATAACTTCAGTTACAATAAGGATTTGATATAGATTTTGGACTCTCAAAAATGAAAACGAGGCTAGGTTAGTTGTGATATGGATTTTGCTATGGAAATGAAAACGAGACTTTACGGATTTGATATTGACTTTTTGGACTCTGAAAATGGAAACGAGGCTAAATTGATATAGTAATTTCTATTGGAACAACTAGAACGTCACGGGCTGCAAATGCTTAAAGTGTATCGGTTATGTTTTATAACAGTGAAATAAATTACATTATTTATACGACCCCTTCTCCACCTAATTATAATAAGATATATGTATTGAGAGGAATCAAATACTTGGCAGCTATTGAACTTAGAAAAGAAGGGCAGCTGTTGATCTTAGAAAAAGAAAATCAGCTGTTCAACTTAGGAAAGATTACAAGAAAAACAGCATAGGTTTTTTGTGTTTTTTCTTCTTCATTGTATTTGATATCAAACGACGCTAGCTATTCACTAAGAATTTCAATCATAATGTAATCCGTAAACCATAGCAACCGCGAACAGTGACGTGTTACTAAATTTAGCACTGATGAAATTGTCTGTTTCCTTATTCCAAAGACAACGTGATCCGAATTGCATCCCTGGTCTTTCTTTCATTGATCCTATCGAAACAACGCATACCATTTTAAATTTTCCGTAACCCATGTCTTTTATTGTTTCTAAAATCCGTGAACTTAGCATTTGACTTAATGTTTTACATTGTTCTGGCTCGTACTTTTTGTCATGTAAATTGTTCACTAATATGTTCTCCGCTGCCTTTTCAATTTCCACATTGACAAAGTTTTTCTCTGGTTCAAGTTTGTATGTGTTTTCGTATTTAATGTGACGCCGAGTGCTCGCGCTATTTGATCCAAGGGGCGTAACTTCTAAGAATGATGCCGTTTCTGCCTTTAAACTTTCCAAGGTCTGTCCGCGTCTTGAACCGGAAGTACTAATTGGTAGAATCTTGGAACGTGTCAACCTTGGTGACCCAACCACGATCTTCTTTCCTTTCATCATCTTTGCAGTCAATGACTTCGCCCTCTTTCTAAACAAAATAGAAATTTTAGTGTTTTTTTTTAAAATAAATTATGTATTTACGACAATGTACAAATTTCCAAATCGCAATAATGACACTAAGGCATGTAATACGATAGACACTGCATATGTAGGTACAGTTGACAAGTATATAAAGGAATTGGGTAGAAAGGCAAAGAAAACGGACGTGGTTGTCGAGGAAACTTTATTAAGGGTTAGATAGTATGGAATGGTGCGTTTATAAAAGATTCATAAATTTAATGTACATGCCATCAGTTTAAAGTGTAATCATATAAAGGCTAACTTTATTATATATCAAACATTTAAAATATGACATGTTAAAGTAAGTTTAAGTACACGAATCCATCATATCTTTTATTTTTGATACGATGTGGTTACCATATCAAATTATATCCACAACAAAATCTTTGTAGTACACGAAAAATTGCCATAGTTTACATAACCACTTTAAT